TTAAATTGAAACACATTGTTATAACTGTTAACTTACAACTTAGAGCTTCTAGTTATGACTTGACGCTACAAACTGTGTAACTTATGACTTCGTAACCTTTTAACTTTGAATTTACAACTTATAACTAAAACTGAGAACCTTTAACTTGTAACATAACTTTGACCTTACTTCTCGATTTGACTCCAACTGTTTAACTTTATAAGTATATTTTTGATTATGATTTTATATAAGACTGTTTGAGTTTTTAGGTGAATTATATGTTCTTGTTTGTTCGTGTATGTTTGAAAGTTTGGAAGTATATCTACCACACTTGTTGACAGGGTTTGTTTGCATAAAACGCAACAATAAAGTTTAAACGTTGTATTTGGATAACATAACATATTTATAATGATTGTAATCTATTACTGCAACACTGCTACGGACCAATGCACAACAACGTAGCGACAGAAATACAGTAACACATCTTTGATCTTCTACAAATACGCAAGGGAACACAAATTAAATCCAGTAACATTCCGTTTGCAGTTGATAAATTTGTTTCACCATGTTTTACCTAAGTTTTACCGTGGTCTTCGCAGCACCGAAAACAATGCTTAAAAGCTGTGGATTTGCATTTGCAGTTCATCCACGCACATGAGCACACAGCCATACATACACTCATGAATGCACTAGTTAACCAATTTTACGGTATACAGGGTCACACCGTAATATTGTTTTCATGAGTTCTATTTTTCTAGTTGGAGCTTGCGCACATGCATTCTTTGGTGTTCTCCTTTTTGAAGAAATATGGGGCCCCGAATTACATAGATGTTGTATATTGTTGTATACTGTTTTCCTTTCCAACTACGAAGTTTGTATGTAACATCTAATTTGATGTTGAAAGGCTTTTTGTCCAAGAACGTGGAGCAATGTGTTTTTCTTTCAAAGTGGTGGGTTTCTTCATTGGGTGACATTTTTATTGGAAACACCCCTTATTTCCATGGATTGCTACATAGTTCTTTCCATAGTTCTTTCCCTGGACATTTGAAATCAACAGGAATCCAAATTTAAGAGACTAAGGTTTGAAATAATATATATATATATATCGTATATGTGTGGTAACCTCCAAAAACAATTACGTCATGCAGGTTTTGCAGACCCACCCACCCTCCAGGAACAGTACGCAAGGCTCCTTTTTTGCATGGTGGTAGATGCTGCCAACCGCAGCCTGTTTTGTTGATTTTGCAGCCAGCCTGTGCCCAGCTGTTGTTTTGCTAACTCCAGCTTTATGTGCTGGCTGCATCATCTTTCCATGACACCAGTTGTGCCAAGCTTACACCTCTATGGTACTTCCAACCTCGGCGATTTCAGCCAGAGGTGGGAGGGAGGGGCTGAAATCCCACAGCGATGGTCATTTGGGCCCATCACTGCAGTGTCCCACCCTCCTCCCAGTCAAACTGCATTCCTATTGTTCTGCATTTCATGCTGAAATGCTACAACAATTACGTCATGCAGGTTTTGCAGACCCACCCACCCTCCAGGAACAGTACGCAAGGCTCCTTTTTTGCATGGTGGTGGATGCTGCCAACCGCAGCCTGTTTTGTTGATTTTGCAGCCAGCCTGTGCCCAGCTGTTGTTTTGCTAACTCCAGCTTTATGTGCTGGCTGCATCATCTTTCAATGACACCAGTTGTGCCAAGCTTACACCTCCAGTGACTTTGTCGCACGACTGGAAAGCTGCCTCGCACTTTTTGCAACGGTTCGTCCCTGACATATACTTGGGTGTGATCATGACTTTCACATTTCTTTCGGCAAAATGCCAACCACACCAGGTGTCCCAGGCGGCCAGGCTTACGTTCCAGGATGCCTTGCGGATGCGGTGAGACACACGTCCGTTTCTGCCACTGGAAACTGCCCAGCACTGTTCGGGGCCAGGAGGTTTGACACAGATTGCTCTCTGTTTGGGTGCGTTGGGCACTGGTACCAGTTTTTCTTTGTCCTCTTCGGTCAGCTGCGGTGGGGCAGGTGTGGTCGGTGATGCCCAAGCGCCTCCCAAGGCTTCCACCTTGTGTGCTCCTGCGTTTAGAGGAATCTCTTGGAGTGCCTCCTCTATATATCTAAACACAGCAGAGGATTTCCACCTCCCTAACAGGCCGATCTCGTGGACAGGTAAACCTCTGCGGGCGTACCACATCGCTCCACTGCGACGACCCGAGTGGCCAGTGATCTCTGGGTCGATGTTCTCCATCCACGCTTTGATCACTTTGACCTTGGGCACCAGTCTTCCCTTCTTGTCCGGGAACAATGGCGCGTTCTCATCATCTCCGTCATGGTCAGCTAAAACTCTAAGTGCAAGATTCCACGGACACAGCCTCAAGCACGTGGGGAGTCCGCAACAAACCAACGTCCTTTTCACTCCCAGGGCTCTCTGGTCCGTCTTGGATTTCCTGATCAACAGGGTGACTGTTTTCTTGCTGAACTCCATGTGGACGTCCCCCAGTCTCATTGCGGCCAACTCTATCGATCTCAACATCCACACCACTGCCCAGGTGTAGGACCAAGCCACTCTTCTCGGTCTGTTTCCGTCACTGGACTGGGATTCCCACACCTCCTGGCTGATGTTGGCTGGGTCAAACTCCTTCGCACGGTTCTCGGGGCCCACATCGCGTTTGAGCGCCCGTTTCACCATGGTCATTTGCCTCTCCATTACATCTGACCAGGAGATGCCCGCTTCCAACTGGAGGAGCTTTACCTCGCTTAGGTACTGGTCAGCACTCTTTATGTTGGATTCTCCCAACACTGCTGCCACCGTCACCAGTTCTTCCACTGATAACCCGTTGCCCTGGATTTTTATCTCGCAATTTTGCATGATCTCCATGATCTTTCTCCGTTTTGATTCCTTTGTTGCCATGGTCGATGCCGCATAGAGCCTCTCTTTCAGCCTCCTTTTTGCACCTTCGATCCACCTGGGGTTCAATGCCAGTCGAACGATGTCTTTCAGGGGCTGCTTCGCGTCGGTGGGCTGTGGAGTGGTGTCTTTGCTCCACTTCCCATTGCTTCCAACACGATTCTTCCTCTTTCTGCGACGCTGACACGTCCTCTGACTCCTACTGTGGTGTCTCGAGGAACTTGACCTCGCGGTTGCTTGTTCGATGGCTTCTTTTGCTTTGAACTCCTGCTGGATCGACTCGACAATGATTGACTCTGCCGGCTGTTTGTTATTGATGGGCTGGCTCTTGACCTCACCCTCGAGGGGGAAGGGCTCGAAAACCTCATGGCTTCGGTCTCCAAGTGGTCCCCAGAGCCCATTTCCATCATTTGCACTCGTTCGCCAAATTCCTGCTTCATCTGGCGCAGCCGCGAACAACATTGCCTCCAGCACTGAATGCCCGCCAGGAATGCTAGGACCAGAGACCATGCCCATACTTGCAGGATCCATTGCAACGCCTCTGCCCCGGTGTCGAAGGGCTCGGCTACGGCTTGACCCTGCGTTTGAACCTCCATGGTTCTGGGCATGTAACATCACTTTGGTCCCATCCCCCAGGTTATGGTAAAACACAAACCAAACCGAGCAATCACAACAACCACACCCCCCCCAACCCAAAGAAAGGGGGGGCAAGAAAGAAAAAGGACACACACCTAAACCAGGACAACCTAAGCACCTGACTTATCAAATCAAACAAGGCGTCCGACACTTTTACCGGACGGAGAGGTGCTCGAAGATGTTGTCCTGAGGGGTGAACTTTTCCTCACCTCCGGCTGTGTCGCCCGGTGCGTGCAGCCAGAACTTTGTGGCCGACCAGGGAGCTGTCCTCCGAAGGTGGACTCCCTCAAGTCCTTTTGGACGAGGTTTGTCTCCTCTCTCCGTGATCCGGGACAGCCAGTCAGCCTCGACATTCCAGGAGCCCCTCAAGTGGTGAAGGGCCAGCCTTTGAACTTCGTACTTCTCAAGCTGCAGGGAAATCTCCGCAGCTATGAAGTTCAATGACTTGTGGGCTGAGGCCAACTTTTTCATCATCGCCAAGGCCACCGACGAATCTGCTCGGATGATGATGGCCCTCATCTTGAGCTTGTCGGCCCAAAACTCCAATGCCCTCAGAATGGCATACGCTTCGACCACGGCCTGGGACGATGACTCACCCCATTCCACCTCGAGCAGCTGTGCCTCCTGCTGGTTGATGAGCGCCTCCACTGCCGCCACAGGTTGCAGGGTCCTCGTTGCCCCATCCTGGACCTTTACCAGTATAGCGCCCCAACCCTTCGGAGAGGCATCGGTAATGATGCCCATGGTGATCGGCGGTCGTCTCATGTTCTCCACCCGGATGAGGTGCTCCACCGGGTTCTCGAACAGTTTCAACAACCACAAGTGCACACCACCCAATCTTTTGATTGGAAACAGTCCCCTTTTGCTTCTGGAGTCTTGTCTCGTTTGAGCTCTTCGATCTTCGGTGCCGTCTTCTTGGTCCTTCTCGACCTCCCTCAACGTTGCATAGAGCACGTTCACCGTCCAACGTAGGCGGGGTAGCACTCCCCCCACCCATGACAGCCTTCCCGTCGTTGACCTGAGTTCCTTCAGGGAGCCCATGCCACCTGTCGTCCAGGATCTCAACGTAACGATCACCTGTTCAATCATCTGCTTTGATATGCCCAGGATCACAACCTCCGGTTCTTCCATCTCCACTACTGGAACTTCGATGGTGCAGCCTATCCAAGTGACCCTTCTGCCTCTTTCTCCTTTCTTCAAACTGATCTGAACCCCGAAAGCCGCCGCGGTGTACAGCAGCATCGCCAATTGAGCTTCACGAGTGACTCTATCTCCCAACGCAGCCACCAGTATGTCGTCCACATACACCTGCAACTGCGTAATCTCGGGGCACACCAACGACTGTAACAGTCTGCCCAAAGCTGATGACAATCTGCCCATGAGGAGCGGTGCCGCGCGATATCCGAACAACATTGCACACCAAACCAAGGCATCTCGATCGTGCTCATCCGGTGTGACGCAATGTCGCAACTCGTTCTTCAGCACTCCAAAATGGTGAGGTCAATGAGGTAGAACTCAAAGTCATCGGTGTTCGTGTCCCTGCGTTTGGCCTTCGCCCCACCTCGCCTCTTCCAGATGTCTTGGAGCATTGCCACCACATCCGACAGTCGAGGTAGGACGATCCTTTCATCGACCTTTGACCTGGAGTTACCAAAACTCCTTCTCATATCCAAGATGATTCTCCTCTTGACCGACCCGTCCTCCTTCTCCTTCAGAATGAGGGCCATTTTGGACACGGTGCCAATGGTGCCGAGGGTCTGTTTCACCCAGTCCCAGCTCACCCTCTTTGCGAACCCATTGTTGACGTAACGGTCAATCTCGATTGTTGCCTCCGTGGTTTGGTCTCTCACCGATTGGTAGTTGCGCTGGAACTTGAGGGCCTCAAACTCCCCCGCTGGGTCCGTGTTCACGTCCTCCTGATCCAATGCAGGGGGGAACACTCCGCTCGGAGGTATCGGCACTTCCATCCCCAGAGGAACCGCGTCTGATGAAATCTGGCAGGCATAGGTCAGGGTCTCCTGCCTCGGCTCCCCATGCTTGCCACAGCTCTGCGTCCAGGGGTGATGTGAACTCCCAATTCTCCTTGACCACCACCGGCTTCTCGACGATCTCCGCCAGGTGGTCCTTGAGCGTGTCGCGCCATAGTTGTACCAACTCCTGATCAAAGGCGTTGTCGGGCTTGCCATAGTTTGCGGCAACTCGGATCGATGTTGGGTGGGACTCCATGAACTCGTCCCACAAGCGAGCGATCTTTCTCCCAACGTCCCCCAGCTGTGTGAGTCGTCGGACGCTCCTGGCGGGGTTTCTCATCCCTCCCACGGCTAGCATGTTGTGGTTCTCCTTGATCTTCTTCGATGGGGTCCCCTTTGAACCCGAAGGCAAGTCATCGCTCTCGATGTTGTCGATCTTGAAGGCCATCGATGCAGCTCGTTTTGATGCAGGGGTTCTTTCTGTCTCACCTCTGCTCTTTTTGTCCTCGTTTTCCAACCAGGCCTTCTGAAGATCGCTGACCTCCTGCGACTTTGTCTCCAACTTGAACCTCCACCATTCGAGGTTGAGGGTCTTCTTCCAAACTCCCACAACTTCGACAGCGACTGCCTCTGCCAACGCCGCCGGGTACTGTGCCGCACTTGCTGTAAGCTGTTTGCCCACCAGCGCAACATGTGTAACCCAATTTGGACACATGCACACCTTGGAGAGTTTTCTAATGTTCTCCAACCGGCCTGCCCATACTCCCGGTTTCTTGAACCTCGCCTTGTCCTTGATCATGTAGGCGCACGTGTTGTAGTGCACCTTGGATCCACCAGTGACTTCTAACTTCTGTTGCAGTTCAGGTAGATCCCATGCACTCCCCGACTCTTCACTTCCAGGGGGGTTTTCTAAAGTTGCAAGAGGTGGAACTTTACGTGCTTCGCAGGCTTTCACCTGCTTTTCATAGACCTCCGCAGACTGAACTGCCATTCTGGTTCCACGATCTGCCTCGGATTGTTGTCTCTCATCATTGGTTGGCAACCCATATATATGAGTTTTATCCCTCACCGGACCAGGTTGCCCAACTACTTGATGGTGTCGTGCCATGCTGAAGCTACCGCAAGGGAAACCTGAATGGATGTAATCCCACTCCCCCCTGCCGACGTCCTGCATCATCGTCTGATGACTTGCCGGCCTAGACAAGTCCAGAGTGGGGTCCAACTTGTTGTCCAGGCTCAGAACCACGACCTCAAGTCTGTTTCGAGCTGCTTCGACCTTGATGGCTTTCCCAAGAGGATCGTTAGGGCCCGAGTACAAGTGGAGGAACTTGAAGGGTCTATTCCGTCGGAACTCCTCGAAGGTCTTCGAATTTTTCAAGGCGCTATGCACCCTCATAGGTCGCATCACGCCCTCTTGGAACGTTGCCTCCCTTTCCACAGGACCGGCATGGCTCGGCCCCCCTGCACCTGTTCCCTCGGCGGGGGGGGGCGACTCATCGCTGCCACCCCCAAAGTCCACCGAAGGAGGGCTGGGATCATCCGGCCCTGCTGGTTCAGCCATGACTGCACGGTCCCATGAAGTTCAGTTTCAAACAAAAGTGGTTTTGATGTTTAAGTTTGAGAAACCCTCATGTCAACGTTTTGAACATGTCAGCAACTCAAATCAACACCAAAGCAATCCCAAAAAAAACAAGTTTGCAACAAGGCAAAAACAAACTCCTCACAAGTAAAACGGCAACCATGACACACGACACCCTCAGACAAAAAACCCTCCTGTCCTTTTCATCCAAGATTTCAACAGCGTCGAAGTTAAGGTCGGTACGTCCTTCATGCTTTGGGACAATCGGCGTCTTTGTGCGCTGGTGACAGGCACTTCCTGCATTTATGGGCTCTTTTCACAGGGCCCTTGCACTCTGAACCAGGTGGAAGGTCACCGCAAACTCCCGATCCTGATGCCCACGAAAAACAAAGGGGCGTTCCAGCTTGGTCCTTGGACTTGGACTTCCCTTTGCCGCCAGAAGCTTTGCCTCCATGTCCACTGCTTTGACCTTGGTGATGTGAACCCCCTTGACGAAGCTTTCGAAGTTCTTCCATGTCTGACTGCAGTCTTCTCTTCCTTGCTTGTTTTCTGTCTCTATTCGCTTGACGTTTCCTGGAATCAGGTGAATCATGCTCAAGTGGAACTGTATCTTGAAGTCCCGGCACATGTGCTTTTACCGCCGCTTCGGTCGCCACCACCGGTTGGCCTTTGGCCCCTGCAGCAACCCATGCCGATGCCGGGATGTGGACCTTTTCCGCCCAGTATGCATCATCTTTTGCCAACTGTATGAACAAACAGCTCCAAGGGGATCTCTGGTCCCAGTCTCTAGGAACTTGACGACCCAAGCCGGCCTCGACCGTGAAGTAGCGTCGCAACTTCGCCATTCTCTCTGCCCTCGCTGAGTCTTCCGCACTGTAAATCAAACCCCAAGCTGAAGGCCATTGAGTTACCAACCTCTCTATGTGCTTGCCGTAGATCTCGAGGGACGCTAAGGAGGCCACGTTCAGCATGATCAACGCGGTTTTTAAAACCCGCCAAGCTGCAAGCCAACCTTGATAGGTTGGGGGCCCGGGCAAATCCCTTTGGAGGTAGGTGCCATCCCCCAGTGGTGTGTAGATGCGACACTTCTGGACTTTTGTCAACTTTCTTTCATACGGTCCAAACACCGCGAAGTCAACGTAAGGTGGAGCGTCATCTCGAAACACTCTCTTTGAGAGAGCAGCCAGTTGATTGGGACTAGGTTCTTCGGCTTCTTCAGGCATTGCCCCCATCACCGCATGGTAATTTTGGAGCCAGGCACTGATTTCCGATGATCCTGGAGGAAGAAGTTCGGATTCGTCGCTCTGGTCGATCAATGTCGACATCTTGAGAACCTTCTCTTTGACGCCTGAGGAAGGGGTGCTTTGCCTCGCTGCCGTAGTTGTATTTGTCTCCTGCCATGGGTCCATGTCCTGGAATTCTGTCTCATCCATGCCACTGCCATGAGCTATTACCCGACGTGCCAAGCGCCACACCAGCCCAATCTGAGTTGCCTGGACCGGAGTCAGACCTGTGCCATCGGGAAACTGTGACTGTGAAACACCTGCCAGCAACCCCGTTCGGGGAAAAGCAGCAAGAACTCGGAGGTCATCTTGAAAATCTCCAACCGTTCTGGTAAAGCAAGCCCAATGATCATCGCCAACCCCAAAGTGGGTGCGCACTGCCCGTACCGTCTGGAACTGTGCCAACTCGCTCCAACGGCCAAAAAGAGACATGGCAACTCGCGCTCCCAAGAATTAAAAGGGGGGCTGAAATCCCACAGCGATGGTCATTTGGGCCCATCACTGCAGTGTCCCACCCTCCTCCCAGTCAAACTGCATTCCTATTGTTCTGCATTTCATGCTGAAATGCTACAAAAAGAACATACGTAAATCTATCAAAACACTTACAGTATACTTTCGCTTTTCTATCTTTTTGGAGGTTGCTGATCATATATTCGAAGAAAAACAAGAAACATACATGAGTAGCAAGGAGCTCGATTTTTTCACAGCACGAATAATGGAGCCAGAAAGGTCGAGAATCTGTTCGAGTCGCACCAAAGAAATTCGATGCATTCGATGTCAACCAATTCATCCAATGAATATTCCCATCTCCATGAACTATCCACACTATTCACCATTCTACAAAACACTAATATCAAAGCCGGATTTTTGGTCACCGGGCATGTTGATCTTTGGGGAGGGTACCAATTTAGTAGCAAATGACATCACTACTTTGGGGGTGCACCTCCTTGATTATACAACAGGGTCTTATGGTCCAGGGCTAACATCATGCTGAAAGTTGGATGGTAAATGGGAAAAATTGGAGCTCAAGATGACCAAAGATTGCAAGTCCCAAGCTGTTTTGATTCTTGAAGCACTGCTAGTTGGCAAAGGGAGGCAAATGGCGGACTTGTTTGGTGGTCCGGGCTTGCAGATGTCCCAGAGTGACAGTACCATGCAACCAATGAAGCGTTGTCTGCCGTACGTATGATTCTTTGCCAGAGAACTGAACAAAGTGCTGCTACTTGGACTAGTGACTAGGCTCTTGATAATCCACCCTAGCGTGATGGAAAATCACACATGCATGGATGAGTTCCCAGTTTACCAAATGCCAGTGGTTTGAATGTGCACCATTCGTCTGTAGCCAGCAGGTGTTCTTGATTCCAGCAATTTTTAGTCGTACGGGAAAAAATTGACTAAGGCGTAAAATTAACTTATCCAAGACAACACCACGGTTTCTGGGGATGTGTTTATTAAGTTTATTACTTGCTTTCATGTTGAATCCCAGCATTGCCATTCTGGCCACCTCTCTTCCCTGAGCAGCAGGACGGAGTGCAATGGCCTTGGCACGGCAAAGATGAGGATTGAAGTAGCAACATGGGAGGTGGTAGAGCTGGTTGATATCTGACGTACAAATGATGTGGCCATTTCTAGAAGTTTAAACCCTCCAATCGTCAGATGGATTCCTGCATGTTGTTGGTTCTCGCCTTCCTTCATGTGGGTTAAAGCCGCCAAATTGCGAAGGTCAACAGTCACTTCAGTATGTACAGAGTACAGATATCATCAGATACCGTAATATAATCTACATCCCCCTTCACAAAGAGTTATATCGTTGGCCCACTGAGTCACTGGTCACAAGTTGAAGCTGTTGTGCTGCTGTTGTGGTCCCGACACCGAGTCCATCAGCTTTCTTTTGGTCGATGAGTTTCTGTGCCTGCCATCGATGGAGATTTCCCGCTGAGATTTCCGGGAAACATCACAGGATTGGCCAGCCAACTTGGACGAGCCCAGCGCTCGTAGCGTGTTTAATGCATCAGGGATCGCCTCCCAAAATGACAAATTCTGATGGAAATTGGCAATTCCCTGAACTCAGCAAGTCAAAGGTTTGTCAAGCCAGGGTCAACGGAACACTATGTGCGATTTCATGCATATCCGCCATTTCTCACACCGATATAACTGCCGCTATCAACCCCTTGCTGCCTTTGAGAAGTTGAAACAAAAGTTCTGGGTCTATCAATTCCCGAACTATTTTCCCGTGCCAGCTGAAGTACGATACTATCTGCTCTCTTGAATGTGCAGCATTCATCCATGGTGACTTTTCGCATCATTGCATGTTCCCCCCGAAACTGTGGTTTCTACCGTAAAATTGAATCCTTTGTCTACCCCTAAAAAAATGCGCCAAACGGCACCGGCCTTCACCCATGGTTATATCACTGGTTATTGACCGGGCTATATCCCCTGGCTTCAACACTGGCTTATGACCCATACAAATCAACAAGTCAACCAGCTCCGATGGCAGACTCCCATGGTTCAAGTCTCGTTCTTGCTGGACCTGTTCGAAGCTTCTCTTGTTCACTTCAAAAGCGCTGCGAAAGAGGGGAAAGATCACCTCAAATCCAGACACCAAACGGGTGCTGTTTAGTTAACCTCTGGCAATAAAAAATGGGGGTTTCATCGAAAAAATGGTGGTTTAAGCATCAACACATGGGGATTGATTTCTTCGCCTTCTGGTAACTTGTTACAGGTTGCTATGGAAACCCACCATTTTTATCCATTTTTACTACGTACATCATCGAACCCAGATGGGCCATGGTTTCCAGTTCGCAAACGCTTGAATTACCGGAGGCCTTTTTGGGCACCTGGAAGGTTGGGTCCATCAGTAATCCACTGGTTAGATGTTAGCAACGCCAATGTCCTGAAGTGGACAAATCCGGAAGGTTCGCTTGGTGCGCACAGCATCATCTACCCCTGCGTTTTTCTCCTGCCAGGTGAGGGTCTCTTGATTTGTGTCAATTTGTCCTTCCTTCCCTCCTTCCTCTTCCTGTGCTCGCCACGCCAAGTCGCCCAGCGGCGTCGCCAGCTTCGTCGCCGGCCTTGTACCGTCACTCTATCGCAAGCCGAACCTGGGCCTGGCCAGGCCCGAACACTATGTCACAAAAAAAATGTCAGATAGCATGCCAGACAAAATGTCAGATGGAATGTCAGATATAAATGCAAACAAAATGTCAGATAGAATGCCAGACAAAATTGTCAGATGGAATATCAGATTAGATGCCAGAAAGAATGCCAAGTAAAATGTCAGATAGAATGCCAGATAAATGTGCAGATAAACTGTCAGATACAAAGGCAAACAAAATGTCAGAATGCCAGACAAAATGTAGATAGCATGCCAAGTAACATGTCAGATAGCACGCCAAGTAACATCTCAGATAGCATGCCAGACAAAATGTCAGACGGAATGTCAGATATAAATGCAAACAAAATGTCAGATAGAATGCCAAACAAAATGTCAGATGGAATATCAGATTAGATGCCAGAAAGAATGCCAAGCAAAATGTCAGATAGAATGCCAGATCAAATTGCAGATAAACTGTCAGATAGAGAGCCGTCAGATACAAAGGCAAACAAAATGTCAGATAGAATGCCAGCTAAAATGTCAGATGGAATGTCAGATTAGACGCCAGAAAGAATTCCAGATAAAATGCCAATAGAATGTCAGTTGGTTGAGGATCACTCGGTGGAGGTAATCTTAAATGGTGAGGTACCCGTCTCATTGAATTGCTGAACCAACCAGTGGGAAGAGGAAATTATGATTCAGCATTTTGCGAGGGCAGAGAACTACCATAAAAGAGGGATGGAACCCAATGTTACACTGGGGCCTGACTGGAAGTTAGAAGTCCCAAAAAAGCAAACTAGAACCAACTGAATAAAAAGTGACTCACCTACACTTGCAGTGTGTCGAAGTAGGGGATAGAACGAGCAATTTGTTGGGAGGTATGCAATCATTGCCTTTCAATAAAATCAGGCCAAATGGCAGGTTTTTAGGCGGCCCGCGGCCATGTTTCTGTCATTCCAAGTATGTAAGATGCTTGGGAACAAAATCAACCTTCGCACTTCTATTGCTTGCGCCGAATGGTCCATCAACCAAGTATTGCGTGCTGATTCTCTCCTCAATTCTGTTGGTAAACTCCCATCCAAAATACTCGGGCATGCCCACACACCAAGGGTCTTTGAATGACATTTCAAAAAAAAAATCTTCACTATTTTGGGGTTCATGACCTGTAACCATCCATGCGCTGTATCAGAGTTTGATTTCGGGTGACGCCCGCCATGTTTGTATCCTAAGACTGTGAATTTACACAAAAATCGTTGAAATCTGCGGGCATGCTCGCCAAAACGACATGACTAACATGACCTTTTGGTGGTGAAAACTGAGATTGGCCACCCGCAAACAGGGATATGGTTTGCCTGTTGAAATGTCCCACTTGGCCGTCAGGTAATCTCATTTGGGTTTGTCTCAAAATACCAAAATCTCATTGTTGACAATCATGTTCCCTCTTAAACTTGCCATAACTTGGGGATAACCATTTTTGGACGTAAACCATTTGATTCTGTCCCTATAATGGATTATTTTTTCCCATCAAAATAGTGGAACCAACTGTTCTCCCATCAAAAAATCGGGTTTTCCACCAGAACGGCCAGCTGCAGCTTGCCCAAGTGCCCCGGCTTGGTTACGCAAGGTGACAAGCACAAGCTTGGCACGGACCTGAGAACGACCACCCTTTAAAGGCGGAAAAACCATGGAAAACCCAAGCATTTTACGAGAATATTTCATGTATCTATACATATATACATACATACATACATACATAAATACATTACATTACATTACATTACATTACATTACATTACATTACATTACATACATTACATACATTACATACATTACATACATTACATACATTACATACATTACATACATTACATACATTACATACATTACATACATTACATACATTACATACATACATACATACATACATTACATACATTACATACATTACATACATTACATACATTACATACATTACATACATTACATACATTACATACATTACATACATTACATACATTACATACATTACATACATTACCTACATTGCATACATTGCATACATTGCATACATTGCATACATTGCATACATTGCATACATACATTACATACATTGCATACATTACATACATTACATACATTACATACATTACATACATTACATACATTACATACATTACATACATTACATACATTCATACATTACATACATTACATACATTACATACATTACATACATTACATACATAACATACATTACATACATTACATACATTACATACATTACATACATTACATACATTACATACATTACATACATTACATACATTACATACATTACATACATTACATACATTACATCCATTACATACATTACATACATTACATACATTACATACATTACATACATTACATACATTACATACATTACATACATTACATACATTACATACATTCCATACATTACATACATTACATACATTCCATACATTACATACATTACATACATTACATACATTACATACATTACATACATTACATACATTACATACATTACATACATTACATACATTACAGACATTACAGGCATTACAGACATTACATACATTACATACATTACATACATTACAAACATTACATACATTACATACATTACATACATTACATACATTACATACATTACATACATTACATACATTACATACATTACATACATTACATACATTACATACATTACATACATTACATACATTACATACAATACATACATTACATACATTACATACATTACATACATTACAGACATACAGACATTACAGACATTACATACATTACATACATTACATACATTACATACATTACATACATTACATACATTACATACATTACATACATTACATACATTACATACATTACATACATTACATACATTACATACATTACATACATTACATACAGTACATACATTACATACATTACATACATTACATACATTACATACATTACATACATTACATACATTACATACATTACATACATTACATACATTAAATACATTACATACATTACATACATTACATACATTACATACATTACATACATTACATACAATACATACATTACATACATTACATACATTACATACATTACATACATTACATACATTACATACATTACATACATTACATACATTACATACATTACATACATTACATACATTACATACATTACATACATAACATACATTACATTACATACATAACGTACATTACATTACATACATTACATACATTACATACATTACATACATTACATACATTACATACATTACATACATTACATACATTACATACATTACATACATTACATACATTACATACATTACATACATTACATACATACATACATACATACATACATTAATACATTACATACATTACATACATTACATACATTACATACATTACATACATTACATACATTACATACATTACATACATTACATACATTACATACATTACATACATTACATACATTACATACATTCCATACATTACATACATTACATGAATTACATACATTACATACATTACATACATTACATACATTACATACATTACATACATTACATACATTACATACACTACATACATTACATACACTACATACATTACATACATTACATACATTACATACATTACATACATTACATACATTACATACATTACATACATTACATACATTACATACATTACATACATTACATACATTACATACATTACATACACATTACATACATTACATTACACATTACATACATTACATACATTACATACATTACATACATTACATACATTACATACATTACATACATTACATACATTACATACATTACATACATTACATACATTACATAACATTACATACATTACATACATTACATACATTACATACATTACATACATTACATACATTACATACATTACATACATTACATACATTACATACATTACATACATACATACATAACATACATAACATACATACATACATACATACATACATACATACATACATACATACATACATACATACATACATACACACATACATACATACATACATTACATTACATTACATTACATTACATTACATTACATTACATTACATTACATACATACATACATATACAGATACATACATATATTATATATGTATGTACATAACGTATACAATGGGATATAATCGGGGACATGATGGAGCGTACTTTGATCAGGAGTGCATTTGGGTCTGTGTACCCCCAAGTAGAGTTACTTGGAGGTGACCCAGCCAAGTGGCGAATGAAAAACTCGGCCATGTATGAGTTGGATTTACTAAGTACCCCATATTCAAGTGGCTTATAATATGGTTATTATTGCATGAAGTTACTAATGGGGATGCACCTCTATGTACAGGATGGGGCCCCCAAGATACCTAAGTTATAAGTGGCTTAACTATGATTTATGATAGATATAACTACAGTTATATAATGGGTTTTTTGTTATGGTTTATAAACCAACAAACATAACTGAGGGGCCCCATCCTGTCGGTAAAGCGGGTCCATGTTCAATCCCGTGCCATCTGGGTTCCTGCGATCGCTCCATTTATCCAACTACAGGATGTGATGATGGGTTCACCACTCGAATCATCATGCTACACTTGACAAAGAAAAAGATGTGAAACTACAAGGTCGGACGGTGATAGATGGCCATATGGTTTCCTGCAAATGCGCTCACGCTGTGATGCCACACACGTCAAACCGCAAAAACACTCTTTTGCTACGCGGCCTTCTACGCCCGCCCAGCCAACCACAAACCAACCAGTCTTGCTCAACTAGCCTAGTTCATGTACCCCGCAAGGGAATGGAGGGGATGGAACCATCTAATTTTGGATGTGATTCTTACTACAACCATCTGATCTTGGGAGACGTTTCATCGAATCATCCCATTTGGGTTGTAACGTCTATTGAGTGGTCTAACTTGATGTTTGAGCCCTAAATCCACTTTCTTCGAATCATCCAAACTGGGCCTTATTCTTGAAGTCTTAAGGCGAGCCAGACATCAAGCAGCTGCACTTAACGCTGGGGACTGGACTGGGCTTCCACCATCCGCCATAAAAGATGATTGCTCGGGAATCTCAGAGACGGGCTAATCCCAGGAGAATGGCCAATCAAAAAGCCCCTGGAGGGAAAATGGCCCATTTATAGATGGTTTACCTATTAAAAAGTGTGATTTTCTATGGCTATGTTAAATAACCAGATGGTATAACTTGAATGGTAAAATTTGGTCTGAAATGATCTGTCTTCTTGAAAACGGGCTTGGAACCAAGCCATGTTTGATGTCTTTGGGATGCTATCCAAAGACACAAACCAAGTTATATCCCAGTTCTGGATACTTATGGTAGATCACAACCCACTACACAACCAAAAAATTGGATTATCTATAACTATAATACATACCAAACTACTTGACTTTTACACGCTTTGATCTATCCCTGTGCTGAGTTTCTCATTCCTATCACTGTTTTCAACCATTATTTTCACCCAACACTCGTAAAGTGGATGTAAATAGCCCCCCAGTGGTAAATGGATTGACCATGCTAATACTTCGATGAGAAAACATATCCCTTTTATTCTCTGTTTTTCCCCAGAATGTCTGAAATACAATTGCAAATGTCGCCAGCGAAATTGGATTGGGAGAGGGTACATGGTTGAACATCCCACATGTCGCTGGCTTTAAACCTCCATATTTGTTGGTTACATCATGTGAAATCCACATTTCCATTGGTCAAGTCTCCAATGTTGATGGATTCTAGTCGCCCGTGTCTCTTGTCTAAACCGCTGAAAGCCCCCTACGCTTTCGGCTGAATTCTCAGTGTTTATTGGTTGCATCCCCAATTTTTGTGGGTTAAATCCTTAATATTTCGAGATGATGTTTTATTTACGATGAGTTTTCCAAGATTTTCCCACTATATCCCCCGATAAACACACAGAATCATAGAAAAAATTGGAAACCTGAAAATTTACAGTACATCATCTCCACCATCCCTGAAATAGTTCTATCCTTTTGTGGGGTTACTATAAAGAGTGTGATTTCAGCCTGCATCGAAACTTCGCCGTACCACTGAGTTTTGGCACACAGAGAAGCCCGAGAAGCCCGAGAACAGTGCCCGAACTCTGAGCCAGCGATAGTTTCATCCAGCAGCTGGATTCATCGAATCTACAAACAAAAAAAAGAAAAAAGAAAAACAGTGCTGATCAATTAACAATAGTGATTTTTGGTGATGGTCATTAATATCATAAAAAATTAGCAATTTGGCTCTTGATTTATTGGTGGTGTAGCGATTTACCTTTGAACTTGTGCATTTGTCGATCACAGCGTTAGGTGAATCAAAGGGTGATCAATCCCTGCGATGTAGAGAGACCACATGCTTTCGAATCCCCCATTCATATTGCCCCCAAGAAATGATGGTTTAACAAGGGATGAGGTTGCTTAAGTGAAAATTGAAGTCAATATTTGGGGACTATACAATGTGTTTTTTTTGTACTAGGGGACTGGGATCTTTAGGCCAAGAATCGGATGTATTTCAAACACGAGCAGTGCAAAAACCTCGGCCATCTATGGCTATCTCAGGTTGGTCCATCTGCCGAATCATGTTAGGGCGCCGCGCCATTTCCTTGAAAGCATCCTGATGTCTGCTCGGTCTCTCACTCGGTGAGGTGAGGTCAGCTTTGGCAAATTATCTATGTGCCATGCTGATGGACACGAGAAATACTGGAGATCCAGTTGGTTGATACAGCGAAATAACGGAATTTGTGCAAATGTTCCCTTTTTATCCGTTTCCACCAATTCGGGGAGGAATGGCCGTCCAACAAGTGACTACGAATGGGATTGCATTCAGAATAGCTTTACAATATCTCCGGATCACAAAAGGGGCATGACATTTTGGGAGTATCTTGAGGCGATGGCACATATGGAAGCTACTGGCACTGCAGCCCCACAAGGACTTGGACAGGGGATGGTCTATCGGACCAGAACCCGCTGAGAACCATCCCCCAGGGCTATGGCGGCTATGCCAATGGCGAAGGCAACCCTCATCTTTTGGGGCGCGGTGAGACTCTGCCACTGGGAGATCCACATCGGCAGAGTTTGGTCATGTTTCATCACCAATCCTCCATGGCTGACCTGATCCACATGAGACCTTTTTCATCGAAACTCTGACCCTTCAGATGCTGGGTCTCCCAGTTTTGAGCAGTTTTTTGTTCACATGACCTCACTACAACTCATTTTGAATGATTGGTTTTTGTATCATGGAGGCAATCGACTGAACGATTTCGCGACATTTCACCTGCATTTGCTCCTCCTTCTGAAAGCGCTGTTGGAACCTGAAGCCAGGAAAATATGCAGCACTTTACGAGGAAGTTACGAGAAAGGGATGGACGGGGGGGCGGTTCTAGGAACTCGGTGCCAATGTTTTGAAGTCTTGGGGTTCCACCTTTCATAAACACACTCCCCATTGGAGAGCCAAGAAAGAAAGCAATTGTTGAAAATGCAAGAAAGAAACACCAGTCATCTGTAGCTCCAAAGAAGCCAAAAGAAATTGGGCCCATGCCCTTCTTCCATTTGTTTGGGAAATACATTGTCGCAATGTTTCAGCCATTCCTCCCTGTTTCTTTTTTTTTTAACCGTGAGAAGACAGTTTGGCATTACCCACCATAAGCTTTGCAACTTTCCAACACATCGGCATCCCAAAAAGCAGCAACAGCAACAGCAACCACGACCACAACAACAACAACAACAACGACAACAACACCAACAACAACAACAACAACAACAACAACGTTTCGGAACCTTGTGGGCGCGCGCCGACATGTTTACTTTTTCATTCATATCTTCAGCCATGCGTTGTCATCTGACACTTTCCCAAATTTTTTGGGATCGCATCCAACCTGAGACATTCTGGCTTGCCGGTAGAAAGCCATGGCCTGCAACACTGTTTCTAATCCGGGAGAATCTAAAAGTTTTTGCATCGCCAAAGGAATTATGTGAGACTGGGATGGCTGCATTCGACCTATTTGGTTGACACGTCTCAGAGATCGCTTGACGCGCGAAAACTCTGCTTCGCTGCTATTATCTCCTCCCATCACGTGTGTGTGCATGTGGAAGAGAAGATCTTACAACGTAACATCACGCGTGTGTGCAAGTGCAAGAGAAGATCTTACAACGTAACATCACGCGTGTGTGCAAGTGCAAGAGAAGATCTTACAACGTAACATCACGCCTGTGTGCAAGTGCAAGAGAAGATCTTACAACGTAACATCACGTGTGTGTGCAAGTGCAAGAGAAGATCTTACAACGTAACATCACGTGTTTGTGCATGTGGAAGAGAAGATCTTACAACGTAACATCACGCGTGTGTGCAAGTGCAAGAGAAGATCTTACAACGTAACATCACGTGTGTGTGCAAGTGCAAGAGAAGATCTTACAACGTAACATCACGCGTGTGTGCATGTGGAAGAGAAGATCTTACAACGTAACATCACGCGTGTGTGCAAGTGCAAGATAAGACCTTACAACGTAACATCACGCCTGTGTGCAAGTGCAAGAGAAGATCTTACAACGTAACATCACGCGTGTGTGCGTGTGCCACCCCCCCTGTTCCCCACCCCAAAAATAATAACATGTCATGCGGGCACAACTTCTAACTGACGGGCACAACTTCTAACTGACGGGCACAACTTCTAACTGACGGGCACAACTTCTAACTGACGGGCACAACTTCTAACTGACGGGCACACTTCTAACTGACGGGCACAACTTCAACGTACCACCACGAAACACTGCCCACAGTGAGCGAAATGAAGATAAACGCGCCCTCACAGGCAGTTTTGCGCTCTCCCGTGCGCTACAACAAACAACAATCAACAACAAACACCACAACACCAACACCGATCAACAACAATAGAACAACAACAAACAACTAAAAGAATAAGAAGAATAACAACACAACAACAACAACAACAAGAAGAAGAACAACAACAAGAAGAAGAAGAACAACAAGAACAAGAACAACAACAAGAAGAAGAACAACAACAAAAAGAAGAAGAACAACAATGAAGAAGAACAACAACAAGAAGAAGAAGAACAACAACAAGAAGAAGAACAACAACAAGAAGAAGAACAACAACAAGAAGAACAACAACAAGAAGAACAACAACAAGAAGAAGAAGAACAACAACAAGAAGAACAACAAGAAGAAGAAGGTCAACAACAAGAAGAAGAACAACAACAACAAGAAGAAGAAGAACAACAAGAAGAACAAGAACAACAGCAAGAAGAAGAAGAACAAGAAAGACTAGTCTAGAACAACACAAGAAGAAAAACAAACCAATCAACACGAGAACGAAGAAGAACCACAAATAACAAGAACAACAACACTGGAAGAAGAAGAAGAACACCTCAAGAAGAAGATAGAACCGTTTGAGGCACAAGAATGAGAAAGAAGAAGAACAACAACAAGAAGAACAACAACAAGAAGAACAACAACAAGAAGAAGAAGAACAACAACAAGAAGAACAACAAGAAGAAGAAGGTCAACAACAAGAAGAAGAACAACAACAACAAGAAGAAGAAGAACAACAAGAAGAACAAGAACAACAGCAAGAAGAAGAAGAACAACAACAACAATAAGAAGAAGAACGACAAGAAGAACAAGAACAACAACAAGAAGAAGAACAACAACAACAACAAGAAGAAGAACAACAACAACAACAAGAAGAAGAACAACAACAAGAAGAAGAAGAACAACAACAAGAAGAAGAACAACAACAACAACAACAAGAAGAAGAACAACAACAACAAGAAGAAGAAGAAGAACAAGAACAACAACAAGAAGAAGAAGAACAACAACAACAACGAGAAGAAGAACAACAAGAACAAGAACAACAACAAGAAGAAGAAGAACAACAACAAGAAGAAGAAGAACAAGAAGAAGAAGAACAACAACAAGAAGAAAAACAACAACAAGAAGAAGAAGAAGAACAAGAAGAACAAGAACAACAACAAGAAGAAGAAGAAGAACAACAACAAGAAGAAGAAGAAGAACCAGCAACAAGAAGAAGAAGAACAACAACAAGAAGAAGAACAACAACAAGAAGAAGAAGAACAACAACAAGAAGAAGAAGAAGAACAAGAAGAACAAGAACAACAACAAGAAGAAGAACAACAACAAAAAGAAGAAGAACAACAAGAAGAAGAACAACAACAAGAAGAAGAAGAACAACAACAAGAAGAAGAACAAGGATTCTTCCCAGTCCAAGACATCGGTGAGGCACCTTCTCAGCAGATCCTTAAATCGTTCGTCCAGTGCATCGTGCACTGCCCTGGCTCGCAAGTCGTCGTTGACGTCCTCGTTGACGTCGTCGGCGCCGACGGATCGCCGCATGGAGGTGGCGTCCGACATCGCGTCCGACTTGCGGTCCTCTTCGTAGGCAGCCACCGCGTCGTGCTGCAACTCCTCGTGGCGTACTGAAAGCTTGAGATATTCTACAATTGAATATCATGACAGTAGAAACTCCAACAGATATATATATATATACATATACATACCACAGCACACCACACCATTACATTACATTACATGTCATTTTATTACATTACATTCCATTACATTACATTACATACATGTAGAACAGTCGCCACGGGTAGTTGGAAAACTCGCAAATTATTAGGCGCTTAACTTATAACCCAAATACCCAAGATGTCAATGGGTCTGGGAAAAGGGAGTGACATAAAGGGAATGGACCAGAACTCCAGGGTTCCAGCCAAAAAATTGGAGGGTCCCGTAAATGTTCTTTTCAACAGTCTTAAAACCTCTTACATAAACACAAACCAAGGCTGGGAGGATGCGTGTCCGAGTGAAACATTTAGATCTATCTACGCATCACAGGTATTGATGGGAAATTCCCGGAAGAATCGGGTGGCCAAAACGACCAAAGCATGCAGCTTTCGATTGGGGTCTTGAAAGTTTGGTTCATGTTCAAGTCCTTGGCTTCAATCCCTGCACTTCAGTTGGAACCAGTTGGCGCACTTGGAACCCTGCCAAGATGGATGTGCATGATTTCAGGTGCCAAATCTACCCTGATATTGTCCCATTGCCCTTATCCATTCAATTTCGACACCCGAGGGATCCTCTCCCAAAAAAAAATTGGACAGAAAAATGCCCCAGATCTTCCTGATGTCTTTGCTAGAAATTTGGGAACGCCAGGTCACCTTAAAAAGTCCACTCTTGGATCAAATTTCCCTGGAGAACTTCCATGATTTCCACCTTAAAGGATCGCCTTCGCCGTGTCCCAGTCCCACTCCTCTGCCTTCAACAACAATGCATCGATCTGAATCTGCATTGTCTGGAACTGCTTGCCTGGGATCTGTGGCGCAAGGGTTGGCCCCAGACCCAAGAGGTTAAGAAGGCTAAACCTATTTGGGTACCAAAACTCCTTGGTACATTACGTGGCTTAATTGGCACCCCTTCTCTGAACTTGGAGCACTTGTGGCGCTCATGGTTCGGGTCAAAATTGCAAAAAAAATCAGGCAGCTTGTCCATCTATTTTACACACGCACACAAAAGTTAGTGCAGCCCCAAAGTCAATCCCAACACTGCAGAAAAAGCTCCGCATTCGGGAAGTCAAACCAAGTCAGTTAGGGTCTAAGACAGCATACGGACGCAAGGTAGGAATGGCTCAACTTCAGAATGACCCTGGCCACAAGATCAGTTTAGTATTTCTGCGGATATCTGATATCATTCTACAAGCCAAAAAACTGTGCCTTGATGCGACTTGTTTTCTATATCCAACCTAAAATCGATCCGGTCTTGCCAGCCCTGTGTGGCAGATTGCCCATCAAAATGTGAGCCTTGGTGGAACCACAAACAGTGCATGGGGGATCCCGAATCCACATGTGCACAGTGTTATGCCGGGATGCCCAGCATCATCATTCATCATCAACTGTATAATGGAATACGCATTTCCGAAACTTACCATTCAAAACAAGTGCTTTTGCATGGTTTTACCATTAGTGAGCTTACCAGGTTTGACTGAAATACACGAGTCCATGAAAATTTTCGCGTCGGATATATAATTGACATCTTTGAAAAACGGTGTCCGGTCTCAGAATTTCCCCACAGAGAGCTCTCCTTGTCTGCCAAGGCACTTGCCATTGTCATTCTGTCAAGAACATCATCTGCATGGTACAGGCCTTACACAGATCCGCCACAAGTTACACACAATCCATATGCACACCAAACTATCTCGCCGAAGGGGGTGACTGCGGGGGGCCCGGGTCGCGGGCTGGGTTCTTCAGACCGGCAAGCTTGCCAAGCGATTAGAGACAATGAGAGTTATATAACGGACTTGGAAGTAGAAATGGCAAGCCACTATAAAGGAACACAGTATCAACAGCCTGGCATACCTGGTGGCAGTCAAAAATGACAAATAAAAATCAAATTCCATTCCACCGTGTCATTTTCCACGCACCAAACCTTCCAAGCAACCCAGCAAACACATCAGTGGTCCAGCAACACAGATATTGCCAACACAAAAAGCATAAGCATCATCATCATCATCATCATCATCATCACCTCGTTCCGGGCGTGTATATAACTTAGACATACTGAGACCATTTTTGGATGTACAACCGAGGCCCGATCCACCTGTACGTGAATCCGCACTCGTCTGCCGCATTGCGCTCCAATTAGGTGCGACTCAGATGGCTGCCACCGATGGGTGGGGACCAGTCATGGAGGTTTCCTAAGTCATCGGGGTACCCCAAATCATGCAAGTCATTGTCTTGTACCATTTGAGGGAATGGGGATCCCAAAAATTTAAGAAACCCCCATATGTTTTATTGGGGGAATTACAGAATATCCAACTTTATACAACAGTTATTTTCGCTGCAGTTCACACAGGTATTCTCGGGTAGAGTGATCCACCAACCCGATCGAACGGAGCAGCATATTCTGGGCAATCACCAACGCGAAACTTCAAAAAGGGCCGCAAAACAAAAAGACTTCGAAGTGACCATGGAGTTGGGCATGATGAAATGCACACTTCATGAGACGTAGCTTTGCATCAACTGCCTAGAAGGGGCTACCTACAACTGGTTTCCAACCGTGAGTACCAGCTATAGCAGCTATGTATTGGATGAGTTTCCCGAAATGTAACAAGGTCTGTACCTGGCTCTGATTTGGACATGGCCCTTTGGACTGCAGAAAAATGCTTCTTGTAGTCCCAAGTACGCTTCTTTATGTGCAATTGAAAACCGGGATATGACCGTGGTTTTTGATCCAGCTGTCAATAGGTTCAGCCGCAGGATGGTCCATCGGTTGAAGGAAGCTGGGGCAATTGCTCAGTTTATGCTGGGGCTGTTCTGACTACCCAGCAATGGGAGAACCATGGATAGGCCCACAACTTCGCCGCTTACCCGGTGCCACCTGGAAAGTTCCCCAAGCCAAAACCTCGCACAAGTCCAACATTCGCAGAGACCAAGGATTTGGTTTCAGGAAATGGGATGAAAATCCCAACATAGGCCATTGAGAACTGGCTAAATCATGATAAACATCGTTGGATGTTGCATGATTCGAAGATACAAACCAGTTGAAGTGGCTCAAAAGCAAGACTAACCGGGCGATCTCCTGTGAAACATGAGGCAGAAGGCCGAAGTAGTTTTGGTGTGGAATTACAATCCAAGCCCCAAGACCCTTCCACGACCGCTCTCCCCACCATTTTCATCTTTGGGGGTCAAACCAATTGTTTCCTGCAAACATTCCCTGACATCAATCTATTGAATTGAATGTCACAGCTTCCTAGTGAAATCCCATCTCTTCTTCTCAAATTCCCAGCTTTTTTGTGTGAATCCAATTTTCCTGATCCTGTGAACATAACAAAGGCAAATGTGTTTCAAAGATCTACCAGTAGTACCGCACAAGGTGGTGGCGAAAGTTTCAAAAATAGGAAACCTATAGGAGAGGTTGGTTGTTGTGAATCGGGGATGGCAGAGCGAAGCCACTGATGGACTGAAAGGTGCTTGAGGTCTCCTCTCTTTCTCTCTCTTTCTCTCTTTTTCTCTCTCTTTCTCTATCTTTCTCTGATTATCTACCTACCTACCTACTGATCTATCTGTCTACCTATCTGTCTATCTATCTATCTAATCTATCTGTCTGTCTGTCTATCTATCTATCGATCTATCTATCTATCTATCCATCTATCTATCTATCATTCTGTCTGTCTGTCTGTCTATCTATCTATCTATCTATCTCTCTCTCTCTCTCTCTCTGTCTGGCTGCCTGCCTGCCTGCCTGCCTGTCTGTCTGTCTGTCTGTCTGTCTCTCTGTCTGTCTGTCTGTTTATCTATCTACCTGTCTATCTGCAAGCTTAAAAACCAAGCTATTCTGCGAGATGTCCTCAGCTTTTGAACTTGACAACATCAAAAAGGCGGCAATTCAGCGAGACTTCTTCAATTTTTGAACTTGACAACGTCAAAAACGAAACAAGTCTGCGAGACTTCCTCAATTTTCCAAGTTGACAACATCAAAAACGAAGCAATTGTGCGAGACTTCCTTCAAACATGGAGAGTTGAGTGCAGCGCTGACAGCCTCGTACCAATGCATTTTGCGATTTTTCGACTCCACCTGTCTAAAGTACTGCGCCTGCCACGAAAAATTGATGCCAGGTCATATGAAGTGCTGCACCTGTCACGCAAAATCATCTTAGCAAACCTACAGATCTGATGCTCCAAAATGCAACCCCTCTCAGGAAATCAGCGCCCTGACCTCCTAACATCTCTCATGAACATGTCTTTTGTACTGCGCCTGCCACGGAAAATGCATCTTTGCAGATCCCCTTCAAATGTCCCATGCCTGCCATCGTTTTTGGAAATGCGACGAAACTCTCACGTTTTGCTCACTCTTGAAGATGTGCACAATCCCTTGCGCCTGCCACGCGAAACGATCTGAACCTCCAAAAGTGGTCCGAACGTGGTGTGCTTCGTACATTTTGACTTCGAAATGTGCTTCGCGCCACAACGGCGTAAACTTTTTCGACATCTCAACTGCCAAAAGTGGTCCGGACCTGCTGTGCTTTGTACATTTTGACTTCGAAATGTGCTTCGCGCCACAACGGCGTGCAATTTTTCATCTCTCATCTGGCCAGCTGGCTCCGCACCCGCAGCTTTAGCGAGCCTACTTTTCGACCCTCTGGAGCCTCAAATCATTGGAAAAACACAGTGTTTCGCGACTTTCCTACCTTTTCGCGCATCTGCATCTGCTTTCTTCTGACTCTTTCTCTTCTCTGATCTTCTCTCTTCTACTCTCCTCTTCTCTCTGCCTCTGCACAGCTCTGCTTTTCATCTGTCCATATTGTCGGAAGTTTGACTTCTAAACTTCCTTCGATGAAAAATATCTAAGATTATGGATATGAATGCTATAATACGCATGATGAATATGTCTGATTTAGCAAAATTGTAAAATACTATCATGTCTAACACAGATGCGACCCACCATGAATGCAAATCATTTTCCGAACCGGAAACCATTGGTTTTCTCTGTTTTCCCCAGGGTATATCCAGATCACGTTAAGCTGGTCATATCTCCCATTCATATCCCACGAATATCCACCGCTTTAAACGTTTACCCCAGGGCGTATCCTCATTCATATTAAGTTGGTTATATACAGGTTTGCCACCTCAAATGTTTACTCCAGAGAAACAAAAGCTGATTTTGCTGAGAATATCGCATAGACATTGCAAGAATATCCCACTAATATTCACCTGTATGTCTTTTCATATCCCGTTTAATTATTGATGATATAACGAAGCATCTGGGTACAAATGTCATATTTCACTCGCCTGAAATTAGGCTTTGTTTATTGCTTGGGAATGATTCCCCGAATCCTAAATATTATGAGGTCACAACGTGTCACAATCTCATTTACCCAGATGGGGCATAAAATCGCTGGTGAATGGACGTTGATTACCCCATGGTCAAATAGCTGGTGGATGTTTGAATCACCTATCCATGAATCACCTGCCAAGGGACTTGAGTCAAAACTTCCTGCTGCCTTCCGCGGCACCTGTGGCGATGGAGGCCAGGAAGACTTCTCCTTCAAGGCCTCTGGAAGCTCAGACAACGAGAGGCCTTAAGGCTGAAAAATGGTGGTTGAACCATCAAGAAATGGGGAATTGATGTGGTTTCATGGGGATTAAATGGAGCTTACAGTAATAGGATTTTAATGGGAATTTTCTTCGGAATTTGCCCTCTGGTCATTTGGCATAGCTATGACAAATCCTTCTTAACAGCGAACTTCAATTCGTTATCTTTTCTTTCTACCTTTCTTTCTATATATCTATCTTTCTTTCTTTCTTGCTATCTTTTTATTTCCATCTATCCTTCTATTTCCATCTATCCATCTATCCTCAATCCATCCATCTGTCTATCCAACCATCCATCCATCTATCTAGCTATTCTAGCTATCTAGCTACACAGGTCGCACAAAATGGGTTTCGACATCAGAACTCTCAGCCGCGAAGAGACACATCTTGTGACGTCAACGCTGTGCGTGGCACCAGCTTGGAGCCGAAATAGTGAGAGTTTGGAATCGAGAATAGCCTGGTGTTATTAAACTGTTATTTAATAAGGGGTGTGAAATAGTTTTAGGATTTTTTTTTGAGCAGGTTTGGGATTTTTTTTTGGATTTCTTGGCTGGTACCATTTGCCTAGTGTTTGCAACGGTTTGGAACTTGAATTTGTCATTTTGCATGGTATTTGCCACATTTGGGCATGTTCACCTTCCATTTTGCATGGGATTTACTACATGTGGGCATGTTCACCTTCCATTTTGTATGGTATTTGCCACATTTTGGCATGTTCACCTTCCATTTTGCATGGGATTTCCTACATGTGGGCATGTTCACCTTCCATTTCGTATGGTATTTGCCACATTTTGGCATGTTCACCTTCGATTTTGCATGGGATGTTCTACATGTGAGCATGTTCACCCAAATATCTACAGATGCGGAAGCTTGGGATTAGATAAAAAGCGGGTGGGGGGGATTGAGGGAGGGCGCTAGCTATCTATCCAGCTAGCTAGCTATCTGGCTATCTAGCTAGCTATCTATCTAGCAAGCTAGCTATCTATCTAGCAAGCTATCTATCTATCTAGCTATCTATCTACCTATCTAGCTAGCTATCTTGCTAGCTATCTATCTACCCATCTAGCTATCTAGCTAACTATCTATCTAGCTATCTAGCTATCTAGCTTTCTATCTATCTAGCTATCTATCTATCTAGCCATCCAGCTGTCTATCCAGCTATCTAGCTATCGAGCTATCTAAATCTAGCTAACTATCTATCTAGCTATCTAGCTATCTAGCTTTTTATCTATCTAGCTATCTATCTAGCCATCCAGCTGTCTATCCAGCTATCTAGCTATCGAGCTATCTATCGAGCTATCTATCTATCTATCTATCTATTTATCTAGCCAACTATCTACCTATCTATTTAGCTATCTATTTAGCTATCTATCTATCTATCTATCTATCTATCTATCTATCTATCTATCTATCTATCTATCTATCTATCTATCTATCTCTCCATCTATCTATCTATCTATCTATCTATCTATCTGTCTATCTATCTATCTATCTATCTATCTATCTATCTATCTATCTATCTAGCCATCTATCTATCGAAGTATCTAGCTATCTATCTCTCTAGCTATCTATCTATCTAGCTGGCTATCTATCTATCTATCTATCTATCTATCTATCTATCTATCTAGCTATCTATCTATCTAGCTATCTCTTTATCTATCTAGCTAGCTATCTATCTATCTATCTAGCTATCTATCTATCTATCTAGCCATCTATCTATCTAGCTATCTATCTAGCCATCTATCTATCGAGGTATCTAGCTATCTATCTCTCTAGCTATCTATCTATCTAGCTGGCTATCTATCTGTCTAGCTATCTATCTACCAAGCTATCTATCTATCCAGCTATCTATCTATCTATCTATCTATCTATCTATCTATCTATCTATCTATCACATGTAATCCTGTCAGCTTTCCAGAGAAGGTTAGTTCGCAAAAACCAACTAATGTAACTTGGGTTTAAGTTTAAATTAAAAAAAAGCGGGAGGGGGGGATTGGGGAGGGCGCAGCGCCTCCCCCCAAAGCAGAATGCAAGCACCTCTTCTCACATGTTACGTTGCTAGTTTTCAAGAGAAGGTTGGTCATGTGATACTCAGGGATGTAAATACTGTGCAAAATGCATCTTACATGAAAATCAAGTATTTAAAGCAGGCAAAGCAAAAAAAAAACAGAGAAGCAAAAAAGCAGAGAAGCAAAGAAACAGGAAACGCACAAAAGCAAAACAGCAGAAAGGCAAAGAAGCAGGAAAAGCAGAAAAGCAGAGAAGCAGGAAAAGCAGAGAAGCAAAGAAACAGGAAAAACAGAAAAGCAAAAAAGCAGAAAAGCAGAGAAGCAGGAGAGGCAGAAAAGCAAAAAAGCAGAAAAGCAGAGAAGCAGGAGAAGCAGGAAAAGCAGGAAAAGCAGGAAAAGCAGGAAAGCAGAGAAGCAGGAAAAGCAGAGAAGCAGGAATCCAAAAATAATTCCTAAACCTGATCAAAAAAAAATCCTAAAATAATTAGCCCTCCTTTAATAAGTCCAGATTCCAAACTTGAGTGAAGCAAAAAAAACTGAATGTAAGTCACATGTCGTTCAAGAGTTGGCTCATGTTTCTGAATGCTCGCTTCCATCAATACTCGCCCTGCAGGTGATTCTGGTGGATCTGTTCATTGCTGGGTTTCATTTCATATGGACAACCAATGTTCAGATGAATTGGAGTAAAATCTTCGTGCACACTTTAACAATGTATCAAATCACATCCCGGTGCCAAAAAAAGGGATCAAAGCATCAACCAGCTTGGGGTTGTCCGAAAATAGGGTACACCGTTCCAGTGGTCTAGAATCTCATTTCCCTCATGAAGCAAGTGTCATTACTTGGGTTAACTCGGGATAATAAATAGCTAAGTATATCCCCATCATAGCTCCTTTTATCCCAAATTCCATCAAGGGACCAGGGAGGTTTCCAGGGGCTCCCAGGTCGCGCCTGAGCATGTTTTTCCAAGCCTGGCACGTGGCACAACATGTCCAGCTGCTGGTGCAACATCTGGGTGTTGACGTCCAAGACCTGCGGATCGCTCTGTGTAACCTGGAAAGTGCGTTCTGTTTTCTATTGTATACATTTGTATGATATGTATGTATATATATATACACATAAATATAGATACACCTGAGAAGGGGGGAACGAAAGCCAGCTCTCATAATGAAAACAGCAAATTGCCTGCGTGTAAGACCTGCAACATTGAAATACTCCAGTTGTAGCGTAGCCCTAACTGCACAAAAATTTTGAGGCAGACATCCTGAAACTCTGCTGGTGGCTTACGTGTCCTCAGTCCCTCGAGCTATATATTTTTCTCCATCTCTTTGTTTAACTGGCGGGAAACCGGACTGAGGGGAATCGATACCCTACTGCAGCAAATTTCCTGCGCACACACAACACCTTCAAATTGGAGTTTCTCTGTTGGGGCAAACCCGTGCGCATCAAGACTGAGAGCATTAAACTTCCTGCGCAGAACACCTTCAAAATTGGAGCTCTCCGCTTGCAGCATCCAACTGCGCGCAACACCTTCAAAATTGGAATTCTCCAGTGGTCGCTTTCCTAAAACTCTGTTGGTCAGCTACGTATCTCTAGTCTTTTAAGCAACATGTCTCGCTCTATCGATTTCTCTGACTGGTTACTTAGCTCACCCAGGAAAACCCAGACCGAGGGGGAATCGATACCGAGCTCTTAAAAAAAACACGCCGTTCTTGGCTTAACATAAGCTCAACATGGCTCGGATTTGGCCCCAATATAGCCTCCGAGAGCCTAACATGGATCAACATAGGCCGAGCATAGGCCCCGTATACGCCAGCATGGTCCCGACATGATCCAAAAACGGCGTGTTCCTTTTGGGCCGGGTAAAGTCTTCAAAGGAACACGCCGCTCTTGGCTTGACATAAGCTCAACATGGCTCCAATATAGCCCCAGCATAGCCTCCAAGAGCCTAACGTGGATCAACATAGGCCCAAAATAGGCTCCATATGCGCCCAACATGGTCCCGACACCGAAAATGACGTGCTCCTTTTGGGCCGGGTAAAGGCTTAAAAGGAACACGCCGTTCTTGGCTTCACACAAGTTCAACATGGCTCGAATATGGCCCCAGCATAGCCTCCAAGAGCCTAACATGGATCAATGTAGGCCCAACATAGGCTCCATATACCCCCAACATGGTCCCGACATGATCCAAAAACGACGTGTTCCTTTTGGGCCGGGTAAAGGCTTAAAAGGGACACGCTGTGCTTGGCTTAACATAAGCTCAACATGGCCCGAATATGGGTCCAACAATGCCTCCAAGAGCCTAATATGGATCAACATAGGCCCAACATAGGCTCCATACACGCCCAACATGGTCCCGACATGATCCAAAAAGGGCGCGTTCCTTTTGGGCCGGGTAAAGTCTTAAAAGGAACACGCCATTCTTGGCATAACATAAGCTCAACATGGCTCGAATATGGCCCCAACATAGCCTCCAAGAGCCCCGCATGGATCAACATAGGCCCAACCTAGGCTCCATATACGCCCAACAATTGTCCCGACATGATCCAAAAAGGGCGTATTCCTTTTGGGCCGGGTAAAGGCTTAAAAGGAACACGCTGTTCTTGGCTTAGCACAAGCTCAACATGGCTCAAATACGGTGCCCGCAGTGTTAGAGTCGGTTGCATCTCAGGTGACATTTGCCAGGTCCAGTTCCAGCGCTGGCGAGGGCTGCACCCCATGAAGAAAGGAAGAAAGAAGCACCGTGGAAGCTAGCAGGCAGGCGATAAGCATGCTGCTTGCTGCCAGGCGGCAAAATGGCAGCAATAAGAGAAGATGGCAGCGGGCAGGAAATGAAAAAAAAACATGCGGTGGGAAAGGATAGAAGACGCGGAGGGCATGAGGTCCCGCGCGGATTTGAACCGCGATCGCTGGATTCAGAGTCCAGAGTGCTAACCGTTACACCACGGGACCAGCTGATGGAAGTGACCGGGCGCGTGACTTGAGCCTGGGAAGCGCCGGAAGGGATCAGGTGTTGCAGCACACTGTCAGCGGGCCATGAAGGCCAAAGCCGGAAGTTAAAAGAAGGGCAACAACAACACTTCTTTATTGTATTTTTTTCAACGCGTGGAGGCCAACTGATGTCAGGGGGCCATGAAGGCCAAAGCCGGACGGAAGGTAAAAGAAGGGCAACAACACTTCTTTAGTGTATTTTTTTTCAGCGCGTGGAGGCTTTAGACCTGCAGTGCGCTAACAGCCTGCAGGCCAGTGACTAAGAGGAGCTCTTTGCACTTTGCCTTGAGTTAGTTCTGTCTCCGTGAGCAAACCCTGTAAGGCTACCAGCTTCCAGCAGGTGTGCTCCACCTGCTGTTGTTTTTCTTCTTGTTCTTCCACCCAGCTGCATAGGTCTGAAGAGAGGAAGAAAGAAGCACGCCACCTGCTGTTGTTTTTCTTGTTGTTCTTCCGGCCAGCTGCATAGGTCTTGAAGAGTCGGTGTGCTGCAAACAAATACTTATTTCGGGGTCCCTCAAAGTAGCAGAGAGGAGAAAGCAGAATTTTAGGCCGCAGCTCTGTCAAAGTCCCATGGGTTGCAACATGGAAGAAGTAAAAGGGCAAAAGGCCTGCTTTGCAGCAAGAGCCCAATGTGTACCTTGAGCCAAAATGGCTACGGTGCCCGCAGTGTTAGAGTCGGTTGCATCTCAGGTGACATTTGCCAGGTCCAGTTCCAGCGCTGGCGAGGGCTGCACCCCATGAAGAAAGGAAGAAAGAAGCACCCAGCATAGCCTCCAAGAGCCTAACATGGATCAACATAGGCCCAACATAGGCTCCATATGCGCCCAACATGGTCCCGACACCGAAAATGACGTGCTCCTTTTGGGCCGGGTAAAGGCTTAAAAGGAACACGGTGTGCTTGGCTTAACATAAGCTCAATATGGCTCGAACATAGGCCAAACATGGGCCCCAGATATGCAGGTGGCCCCGAGCCTCTCAGGTGGCACGGCCACGTGCAGCATGGCAACGGGGGTAGTCACAACGCAACAAGGTGTGCTGGCGCTGCTGACTACTGTCACTATGCGTGCAACCAATAAGTCAGAAAATACGTCGGAAGAATTTCTCAGTCTAGAGCCTATAGCAATCCATCTGTCTACCATCCTATCAATCTATCTCTCACTCTATCCACTGGTCCATGTCTCCATCTCACATCAAGCGCGCTAGCTGTCATCCGCTTGTAGCCAAAGAGAGATGACGCGACGATCTACTTTCAGCACAGGCATAGCTGCATGTCAGGCTGTCATTGCAGCCTGCTGCCGACAAAGCTTCCATGACCTGTAGCCATCTAGCTGTCTATCTAGCAATCTAGCAACCAATCTGTCCAGCCTTCCGTCAAGCCATCCATGCATCAACCTAACTCTCTCTCTCTCTCTCTCACTCTCACTCTCACTCTCACTCTCACTCTCTCTCTCTCTCACACTCTCACTCTCACTCTCACTCTCACTCTCGCTCTCTCTCTCTCTCTCTCTCCCTCTCTCTCGCGCTCTCTCTCTCTTGCTCTCTCTCTCTCTCTTTCTCCATGCCCCCCATTTCTGCAGCTACGTAGCTATGCGAAGCTCGCTGCCAACAATTCATGCTATCATGTGGTGCTTCTGGCCCTATTCGGCAATCTGTCTCTCGATCTCTTCATGCATCCCTCGAGTAAACTATGTATGTATCTATCTATCTGTTTTTCTATCTATCTATCTATCTATCTATCTATCGATCGATCGATCGATCTATCGATCTATCGATCTATCGATCTATCGATCTATCTATCTATCTGTCTATCTATCTATCTATCTAGCACGGTATCTACCTTTGGAGCTCCACACACCTTGCAGGCTCCTGCTGCTGGAAACAACTGCTTTGGACGTTGCTTTTGGCTGCTTTGGACGTTGCTTTTGGCTGCTTTGGAGACTATCCACTATCCGCATTTATCTATCTATCTATCTATCTATCTATCTACCTATCTATCCATCTATCGATCTATCTATCTGTCTATCTATCTATCCATCCATCTATCTCTCTCTCTCTGTCTATCCATGTATCGATCTATCGATCTATCTCTCTATCTCTCTATCTATCAATCTATCTCTCTATCCATCTATCGATCTATCTAAGTGGCTTATCTCTCGGTCCACACAAAAACTATATTTGTCTGCTTCTCCTCTATCCGTCTGTCTATCTATTCTATCTATTTTTTCTACCCTCCATCTATCTGTAAGCTTAATCTATTTTTCTATTCTCCATCTATCTATAAACCTATTGACGTCTCCAAGCTTATCTCTCTGTCCATACATACGTCCCGTCTAGGCGCAATACGGTTCCAAGATGACCTAAAAGCGGCGTGTTCCTTTTGGGCATAACATGCCCCAAAAGGGACATGCCGTTCTTGGTCAAACGTAAGCACAATCTGCTCTCTTTGTCTACCCAGCACGGACCGGGGGGGGGGGGGCAATAGTCACGGACCAGGGGGGAATCGATACCCCACCGTCACCCATTTGCCACCTGGTACGTTACCCTGCAAAAAGACGCCAAAAGTCACCCTAAACACCACCTAATTCTGTGATATTTCCTCCGTTTGTCGAGGGGTGCCCCCAAACCCCCTAATCTCTCACTACGTTCGCAAACAGTAACAAGTCCAGCCTGTCCGGCTGGCTTTCGTAAAATACAAATATATCTATAGGTATATATATCTATAGGTATATATATATATACTGTGTATATATATATATACTGTATATATATATGTAATTTGATTACAAATATAAATATAGATATAAATATCGATGAAGATATAAATCTAAATCTAAATGTAAGCATACATATAAACGTGTGTATGTATATATATATACATACATACATGTATATATATATATGTATACACATCATCATACGTGTATCACATATATCATGTATGTTGCGTATTCTATTGTACATTGTATTATACCAATTATACCAAATATATGTATAGCATTAATTACGTAGTATGCATACTGATAATATGTGAATGTGTATGTGTATATATATATGTACATTTTTGTAGGAGGGAGGCCCCAGATCATAGGTTTTGGTTGGCTTGCAAGCAGGCCAACGATCGGATTTATGGTGGATATGTCCACGGTTAGATGCGGTTGCAAACCAAATTATAACTGGGGAGCCTTTTTGTATTTATAATTTATAAGATATGAAATTGACATATATAAGAATGCTACAACTACCAGAACCCCCCAATTGGATGATTTCCTTCGCTTTTTCGATGCTGATTAAGGTGCCTGGAAGATGTCCTTGGTCATGTTGCTGATTAAGTTCCGCAACTCCAAAACGGAGTACCTGGCGAAGAAAACACGACAATACAGTCTCATGGAGGCCCGAATCAGATGACTCCAACCACATGGCGTTGCTCAAATTCCGAACTTCTGTTATATCTTGACTTGTTCCCACTGACCATAACCGCCATAACCATCACCATTGCACGACAATTGAGTTGCGCTACATTGATCAATCCACTGGTGAACCATCATTTTCTCTATTAGGACAGCCAAAATTGCAGGGTACACCCCAATTTCAGACGAACAAAAAATACCATTTTTAAGTTGGGTACGGAGATTTCATGACATCCCAATTGTATTCCCCGTTTTGGTTCACCAATCTCATGCCACATCCTACCGTCTCTAGTGTGAATGTCCAGCGCCACCTGGTGAGAGATGACATCATCAGCGGGTCCCGCTTCTTACAGCTTCCCAAGTGATGGCAAAACTCCACATAGTCCACCTGCCGGCGGCCGACGTGATGCCGTGGCGAGATGGTTGGACTGGAAGTAAGTTCTCTTCGGAAGCTTCCCATAGTCATAAGCCATAAGCCATATGTATATATATATATATACATATATATATATATTATGTAGATATATATATATATACACATACATATGTATGAAATAAGCCACGGAAAGAAAACTCGTCACGGTTAGAGACCAGTTGCGATTAGTGGGATGCTACTCCAAGTGGGGATGTACATGGATGGACACCATTCGGTCATGTAGCCCGGCAATGGAAATACGCATTTGTTTAATCCGAAAATCTATCTATCTATCTATCTATCTATCGATCTTATCTTATCTTATCTTATCTTATCTTATCTATCTATCTATCTATCTATCTATCTATCTCTCTATCTATCTACAGAATACATATTGCGGTTACATTACAAATTTGTGACCCTGTCGCACTCAGGTTTTGCAAAGCTTTGCCTGGCCAATGCGTTGGCTCAAGGCGACTCAAACTGAGATTGCCAAGGAAAACAACGAGGTGTCATTGGGACGCGACTTTAGTTGTTGGAGCCCATAACATTGGGACGCAACTTTAGTTGTTGGAACCCATATCCACTTGGTTTGTAGCCTCCCGTAGGTTATGAGCCCAAACTGAGCTCTGCAATGGAGCGTCGTCGACGGTCATCTTCGAGGGCAAGGGACGCTGATGAGTTCCTAGCTACGGAGAACGAAACATCGGATGAAAGGTTGGATCGGTTGATCCAGGAGGAAGGAAGAGGAGAACCAGCTGTGAGGTCGGTGAGGATCTCTGCGAGGGCTGATGCTCCACCTGCTCGAGGCGAAGGTCAACCAACTGGAGATGAAACCCAAGAGACCGGAGCTGTAGTGCCAGCAGAGGGTACTGTGGCGATGGATGAGGGGAATCGAAGGTTGATGGAGGGCCTGTCGCCTGAGCAACAAGGCGTTCTAGCGAGGGCTGCTGAGGCTCTACGCGCTGGACAAGCCCTACAAATAGCGGATGGGGTGAGGCGACCTGAGTTCTTGCCGCCGCCGCTGCAACTTGGTGATGTATCTGTACTAGCGGGACATCAAGATGGAGCCGGAACTGCTCGAGCACCTGGTGGGGGTCAACTTGATTGTCGGCCTGGGGTACAAGGTGAGGGAGGTGGTGAACGAGACGATCAAAGAACGGGAGGATATGGTGGAAGCCTGTTGGGCCCTTTAGCTCTATCTCCTGCAGATCTTGTTCTACGACCTCTTGATCTACCACCTCAAGGTCAACCAGTCGCTCTTCAACCACCCGGGGGACATCGTCAACGTTCTGAACTTGCTCTACAAGATCCTGGTGCACAACGAGTAGAAGGACCGGAGGGTTTGATCACACCACCACGTCCACCAGAAACCAATGTGTTTTGGAGTGAAAAGGTAAGGCGTGAGGTTGAAGGTGGGGTTCAAACTGGTCAAAATGGGGCTGGTCAGCCAGCTCAACCGTCTGAAACAGCTCGACCCTCTGAAGCAGCTCAACGTGCTGGAGGGTTACCACATCAACATGGAGCTGGTCCTGGTGAAGGAGCACGAGCTTCTGTGGTGTTGCCGGATGGGTTGACTCATCGAGATCTCTTGGAACTGGAAGCCCTGCAGGCCCAGGCGTTGAAAAATGTTGAAAACCAAATCCAACAAGAAATAGCTAGGCGTAAGGCGGCGGCTGGGGGTAGTGGTTCGTATGGGACACCTCAAGGGGGGAGTAGGAATGATGAGGGGATGCAACAGCCCAATATCTCTACTCCACCAGGGTTACCTCAAACCACCTCAGTTTTGGGAAATCCCCCAACGGCTAGCGTGAAGAACGTTTTGGGGTTTGGACACACGCCATTCAATCCACCTGCGATCCATGGTGACATGGGAATGCCAGTTGGTGCAGGAAGCTTGTCGTCAGGGTTGAGGGTTGATGGAGCTCAGCACCCTCCGGGGACCGCTGCGGCTCAAGTTGGGGAGTCGTTTGCAGAAAGCCTGAGGGTTTTGGAACTGCCTCGCTTGAGTGAAAACACAACAGCGTTGTCTCTAGGGGATTGGTTGGCTGTAATCGACCCAATCATGTCTGACCTTAGCTCCACTTCAGGAGTTTGGTGGCAGTTGATTGTAGGTGCTGCTCAGGATGGGTACCGCCAATGGATCTTGTCAGGACCTTTGGACCGACTGAGGTTACGTCCACCGGTGCCTGCCGAAGCATCCAAGTGGCCACGCACTGAACAGCGAGCTGTGACCATGCTTCTAGCTTGTCTTCCCGAAGGAGTTCGACGTGATCTCATTGCTTCTCGGCGATTGTCAACGGTCGAGATCATCTACAAGCTGCTGATCACGTACCAGCCTGGAGGTCCACAGGAGCGGACCGTGCTCTTGAAGGACATCACTGAGGATCGTCTTGGAAACAACCCGTCAGTGCAGGAGGTTCTCAACACCTTGAGGATGTGGAGAAGAAATGTCAACAGGGCGAACGAGCTCAAGGTCACCTTGCCTGATACTTTGGTGATTGTGGGCGTGCTGACCAAGTGGGCAGAGCACATCAGTCGACTCGGTGGGGCTCAAACTGCGTTTCGAGTGGCCGCGCTACGTCAAGATCTCAAGTTGGACAACCGTCCGGATGCTGACCAGGTGATGTACTTTGCGGAGGCCCTCCAAGCTGAGATCGAGCAGGTTGCTTTGTCACGGCCTTCAACGACCTTGTCATCAACGTCTTCAAGCTCTGACGTGAAGAAGAAGGAGGTTCCCAAGACTGCATCGCTCAGGACTGGTGGGGATAGCTCCGCTAGGTGCTACTGGCGAAAAACCAAAATGTAAGTTTTGGGGTAGCTCAGTTGGTTGTAAAAGGGGAGATAAATGTGCATATCAACATTCATGGGAAGGAATCCAACGTAGTGGAAGATGTTACTTTTGTTCGGGGGAGGGTCACATGAAGCCCAATTGCCCTTACAAAACTCAAGAAAGGGATGGTGATCAGAAAGGAAAGATCTCAAAGGTCAATGCTGGCACAACGAAGGTTGCCCCTGGAGGAAAGAAACAGACCTCAGGAAAGGATGCCCAGGTTGTGCAGCCAACGTCCTCATCCTCTACCGGATCCACGGAGGAGAAGCCGGTGTCCAAGGGTGTGGAGGAGATCCCAGTGGTCCCATCAACTCCGGTCATCGATGTGACGAGCCTGATGAAGTCGCTTCAGAGCCTGAAGGCTGTGCAGCTTCGATTCTTGGATGCTGGTGGTTCGAACGAGCCCCCACTGGACTGCAAGGTTGCCCTCCTTGATGGAGGGGCAACACATGCTCTACGTCAAGGTTCAGCAGCGGAGCTACGTGATGCTCAGCCAGTATCTGTAGAACTTGCACATGGCCGAACTACGCTGTATCGTCATGATGGATGCCGCACCCTGCTCTCCAAGGAACCCATCGAGGTGATCTTACCCATGCGCCTCTTGGTCGAGAACGGCTACCAGGTGAAGTGGTCGTCAAATGAGTGTGTGATCGCTCACCCTGTCAAGGGAAACCTTCAGTGCTGGCGTCGTCAAGGATGCCCAGTCATGAGAGAAGATGAAGCTCTACTGCTTCTCGAGGAGCTGGAGAAGGCCGAGACTGAAAATGGGTTGGGGGTAGAAAAAGATGTGGAAGAATGGTGGCGGAAGTACTTTCCGCAGATCCCTGATGAAGTTCTCCAGAGAATGAAGGGTCAAGGGAGACACTGGTCAGAATGCAGTGGTCCAACCTTACCATGGAATAGAAGGAGACGTCGACAGATCGAGGCCTCAAAGGGGGTGATCCTACATCTGTTTTCAGGTGGTGCGGTGATGTCCAAAAAATGGGAGGAGTTGCGGAAGAATGGCTACGAAGTCATCACGCTCGACATTTCCACCAATGCCGCGGAGAACCTTCACAATGCCACGATCTGGTCCTATTTGTGGGACCTGGCATCCCGCAACAAGTTGCTTGCCATTTTGGGTGGACCTCCTTGCAGAAGTTTTTCTCGTCTTCGTCATCAACGACCAGGACCTCGACCACTACGTGCTAGAGGTCCACAACGCTGGTCACTGCCAGATCTGAACCAATGGGAACTTCAGACTGTCACGGATGACAGCGCGCTGATACTCAAGATGCTTGGCTTGTTTGACCGAGCAGTGGAAGTGGCCCAACCGAATGAAGAACGTGCTTTTTTGATGGAGCACCCTGCTGACCCTCAGGATTATCTTGGCGATGATGCCTCGATGATGCCGTCAGTATGGGAATGGGAAGAGATTCGGGAGTTTGCCCGTCGACACCAATTGAACGTGGTGAAGTTTGATCAGGGCCGAACAGGCCACTCACGCCGAAAGCCAACGACACTGATGACATCTCTTCATGCTCTCAACGAGCTGGACGGTCTATCTGGAGGGGGACATGAATCTCTACAACCGGATCTTCCTGACCGTCTTCGTCAGACTGCCACCTGGGCCGAATGGTCCCCGGGCCTAGTTCAAGTCATCAAGTTGGCTCTTCGAGGATTCTTGGAAAAAATAGACCAGGAAGCTCAAGTGAAAAAGATGAGCCTGGACGACTGGCGTCAACATGTGCGGCAGAACCATGTGCCTTTCAGGCGAGATTGTCGAGTCTGCGTCGAAGAAATGGGTCAAGATGTTCCTCACCGTCGCAGAAAACACCGTGGAGCTGGCGATGCTGTCTATGTCTTGGCCGTGGACGTCGCAGGCCCCTTTGTCAAGGGATGGGACTATGGTATGGCTAAAGAGGCCAAGTATGCACTGGTTGCTACGATACCTGTGCCGGTTGGATCGCGATTGGCAGATCCAAAAACTTCGCCCTGTAGCGAGACTGAGGCTGTTGATGATGGCCTACATCCTGAAGATTGTCAACATGATGGAGGTGCTGGCGACCATGATGGAGCTCTACCTCTACCATCAGATCCTCTTCAACCTCTTCCTGAACTTCGTGAACGCGATGGTCCAGATCCTCAACATGAAGGAGATGCTGTCGATGCTTCTGGTCATGGCCGCGATCAAGCAGTCATGGACCGTTTGAATGAAGAGTGGAAAAGACAGAGGGACATCGCCACCAACCCCATCGACATCCAGAATATCACAGTGGTTGAACCACTTTCGTCACGGGCTACGAGGGATGTGTTAGAAGCTTTGCATCGGGTCTACGCTCGTTATCGGAGCCTGGGGATCCCGATATATCGACTTCACTCGGATCGTGCCAAAGAACTGATCAGTGCACCAGTTCGTCAATGGGCCGCTCAGAAGGGCCTTTGGCAAACGTCAACGTCTGGGGACGACCCACCCTCCAACGGCCGTATTGAGGCTGAGATTCATCAATGGAAGCGTCGACTACGACTTACCTTGAGGACCTCAGAGGCCCCAACTACAGAGTGGCCATCGGTTGGTCGTCATGTGGCATGGGAGCGTATGAATGCCCAACTTGCCAGGGTAGGACTTGCCAGTCCACCATGTCTCAACTACAACATGAAGGTGATGGTCAAATGCAAGTGGTGGCACAAGCTGAAAACCAAGGGCATTGCCAGCCCCTTCCAGGAAGCCGTCATCAAGGGCCCAAGCCCACTTATGAGTCACGGATGGGTGGTGCTCACCAAAAAGGGCAGCACACAACATGCTAGGGCAGTTCTTGCGATTGACCCCGATGCTGACAAGGCCATGTTGGAGCTCGTGGAGAGCCCCACCAAACCCACTCATCGCCTGACAGGAAAAACTTCACTGACACCCAAGGTGCCACATCCATCTTTGGTCGACCCGTTGGACTTCTCTGCTCTGGAGACTACAGAATCTACAGTGGGGGGAGCTATGTTGGCTGAAGTGGAGGATGATGGCTATGAACCGAGCATTCTTCCTGATGATGCTGTGCCAGGGGATCTCTCGGAATTTGCCAACCTTGGCTCGGGGGAGCTCACTGATGAGGAGGTTCCGGCTGTGTCAGCCGGGGGGGAGTCTTCTTCGACTTCTTTGCCAACTTCATTGCCGAGTTCAACACCCAGACCGTCGTTGTCAGCATTGAGAACCTCAACTTCGCAGGTAGCAGCAACTTCATCGAGCACTTTGACTTCTCCAAGGACCACGTCTTCTTCGTCATCAAGCACTTTGACCTCTCCAAGGACCACATCTTCTTCGTCTTCCAGGCCGGGTCACGAAAGTCACCAAAGGTGTTTTGAATGGAGTGGAACGGTGGAAGACTATGATGAATGGTTGTGTGGGATACACTATGGGGTGTTAACTACACTAAGGGAAGTCACCACTTATATGCCAGTCGATGGGGACGAGGGTCAAATTCAAGGCAGGTTGATTGAAGAAATGTCTCAACAGCTTAAAGCCTTGGAAGAGGAGTTGGCTCAAGTCAATCGGTTGCTCTTGTGGGTACGTCAGAGAAAACACCTTGAAGCTGCTGTGTGTGATGTTGGACCACGGGTCAAAAAGGTTGGTGATGTGGAAGGTGAAAAAGAGAGTAGTAACCCCACTCCGGGGGGCGACAGCATGGTAGGTAGTTCTCCGGTGTTGCAAACGTACAATGTACCTCTCCAGGAGGTCAGAGCCAATTTGGCAATGTGGCGACCGGCCATATTGTCTGAGTATGAAAGTCTGACCAAGATTACCAAGGCTGTAAGGCCTGTTCACCGGGACACCCTGAAACACCGAACTGATGTGGAGTACGCTCCTGGTAAACTGGTAACCACAGTCAAGGCTCCTCATGGAAAAATGAAGGCAAGGTTGGTAGTGTGTGGAAACATGGTAGAAGCTTCAGTGGATGCTCAAACGGAAGACCAAGAGAAGGAAGGGTTGTCCGAGTATCTCAACAAAACCAAGAGTAGGGATACGTATGCATCTGGAGCTGACGCCGCAGCCATCCGTGCCACTCTTCGACATGCTGGAGACCGTGGATGGGGGTGTGCAAGCATCGATGTGCGGACGGCGTTCTTGCTTGCTCCACGTCGAGGCACTGGTCTACTAGCAGTTCGACCACCGAAGATCTTGGTATCTGCCAACATTTGCTCGCCTGACGAGATGTGGTTGGTAGATCGTGCACTTTACGGCCTACAAACGAGTCCCAGTGATTGGGGTGTGTTTCGAGATGGTGAGATGAATAGCTGGACTTGGTCAAAGGGGAATCGAAGCTTTCGGCTGGCATGTACCCGGGAGCCTAACCTTTGGAGAATCAAGGAGAAGCTGACAGGTGATACCGAGAAGACGGTGGGTCACATCTTGGTCTACGTTGACGACATGCTTGTCACCGGGGAGACCGAGGTGATTGCGGCCTATCTGGACCATGTGAAAGGAATTTGGCAGTGCTCACCACCTGAATGGATATCAAAGGACGGGCCGGCAGTCAAATTCTGCGGCTTTGAGCTCAAGGAGGGGTCCAATGGATCCATTCAAGTCAGCCAAGAAGCCTATGCGAAAGAACTGGTGAAAAGGTATGGGTGCACCAAGACACGCCCTGTGCCTATGTCGCCAACTATGGCATCCAACATCCCTGAAGAAAAGGACTCTGAGTTGGACCCGAAGTTAGTACGCCAGGCCCAGGCCATCACTGGCGAGATCCTCTGGTTGGCACTGAGAACTCGACCAGACCTTGCTTTTGCTGTGGGGGTTATGGGACGACATTCCACAAAAAACCCAGGCTTTGTATGCCAACTTGGGAAGGAGGTCGTGGAGTACATCAACGGTTCGACGGGTACAGCTCTGGAGTACGGTCGGTGTGATCCGACTGATCGAGGACCTGATGATGGTCTTCCTTTTCCTCGATCAATGAGAAGATTGGAAGCCTATGCGGATGTCAGCTTCGCACCTCAAGCTTCAAGATCTATCCAAGGAGTACTTGTGCTCTACGGTGGCTCTCCAATCATGTGGGAATCAAGCAGACAGAGCTGCATCACATTGAGTACAGCGGAATCTGAACTCCTTTCGTATGTGGAGGCGATGGGCATGGCTGATTCGATGGGGTGCATCCTTGAGGCCTTGGAAGAAGTGCCTTGTCAACTCACTGTGGTCGAATCTGACGATGAAGAAGCGTCTGAGGAGCTCTACATCCGGGAGAAGATCAAGGTTCCGGAGGGCGAGTTCATAGAAGGAGCGATGGGGATCCAACGAGTCATCTATGGCGACAACACTGCGGCCATTTCGGTAGCGAGTGCTCCGGAGGGGGGAGCTTGGAGGTCACGCCATTTGAGGCTGAGGAGTCATTTCCTACGAGAACGTCTTCGACATCGACAGTGGTGGTCAATTCGACATTTACCAGGTTCTCTGTTGGTGGCTGATTTCCTCACCAAGGCCATCAGTGCGAAGCAGCGTTGGACCTATTTCTTCAAGTTCCTCAACGTGGTCACTACAGCAGCAGCGCAGTTCTCTGAAGAGTCCGAGGAGCAGGAGGTTCAGGTGAAGACCCTTAAGCTCAACCACGAAATTATCAAGATTGCGGCGGCCAGTTTAGGCTTTATGGCAACAAAGGCCATGCAGCCAGGACAACCTGGGTCGTATGATGAAAAAACTAAAACTCTTGTGTTGCTGTGGTTGTGGGTATACCTGAAGAAACGGGTAGAGGGTCTAAAACAACAGGGTCTGTTGCCGATGAACCCCGAAAAATGGAAACAGGAACTTGAAAAACCAGGTTCTACTCTCAAGGCGCTGAGGATCAGTGAGCGAGCTTTGTCCCATGACTCTGACGAGAAGGACTTTCAGTCTAAGTTGTCGAGTTCGGAAGCTGTGCAACTGGCTCACGATCTACTTCTAGAACTGCCTGCTGAAGAACGAGAAGGTGGTTTATCTGACCGAGATTTGAAGGATGAGAAGTACGTGGAGGAAGAAGCGATAATCCGTGTTCGAGCTCTACGTCTACATCCTGATCAAGACCTACAGCCTGATGATGAATTTGATCTACCGGCTGATGACGCGCTGTGGGATGATCTCGGACTATGTCCTGATCTTTGTCAACCTCGAGGTGTCCCTGGGGGGTCGCCACTTTTTCCTGAAGGAGCTCTACATTCCGAAGGAGCTCTACACCCTGGAGGAGACCTACACGATGGTGGTTCTCTTCGATTTTTGGTTTCAAGGGATGATCGAAAGGGGGCGTCTCTACATCTTGGAGGAGACCTACGTGATTGTGGTCCTCTTCGGCGTGGGGCGCCGGTGGACGATCGATGGAGTTCGTCTCTACGTCCTGGAGGAGGTCTATGTGATGGTGGTCTTCCTCAACCTTTTGATTTTTCACCAGGGAGCCGACATGGGTCGTCTCTACTTCCTGAAGGAGCTCTACTTCCTGAAGGAGCTCTACTACATGAGTCAACTGGTCGTCATTTTGACGAATTTGGAGGTGGTATGGTCGTCAGTGGATCGCTGGAGGGGCCCTGGACGCTGGAGGAGGAGAATGGTCGTCAAGGGGCCCAATCTTCGATTTCTTCGTCTTCAAGTTTGGGACTACATCCGGGAGAAGATCTACATGGGCGACTCACGCCTTGCACTTCCTTTGAAAGCGGGTCTTTGAATTTGAGCACGCAGTTGTGCACTCATGCATTCTGCGTGGTTAACCTGGAGCATCCAGGTCTGAATTCAGATGAAACTCTGGACGAATGGAAGAAACATGGAACCCCAAGAGTGATTCATGCTCCTGAAAGGGTCATTGAGTTTTCCGAAAGGGTTAGAAGTTCTTCCGTTCCAACTGAGGTTCGAGGTAGCTATGCGGTTTCCATAGACGGTGGGAGGGAGAAAGTGAATTCTCCTAGGGTGAGTCAGCAGATGCTGAAGGCAGCACCTTCGTCCTCTCACTGTTCAATGGTTCAACGTAGTTGCACACCTCCGCAGGTGGCTGTCCAAGGTAGTCTGACTGTAGCCGTGCACGGTGGGGGGGAGAAAAAACTTTCTCCTAGTGTGAACCAAAAGATGCTGAAGGCGACTTTTTCGCCCCCTCACTGGTCAATGGCCGTAGCCTTGGTAGCAGTAGCTGTTTTTCCCCGTAGAGTAGCTGCTCAACCGAGCGAAGATGATGGCTTCGGCGCTGATGGAAACTTCCTGCTGCTGGCCTATGGATTGGCGATGGCGATCCTAGGAGCTCTGATCGCAAGATGGCTGACGCCTATCACCGTGGTGGCTGCTCCTTTGAGGTCTTCTTCGTCTTCAAGGTCAACGAGAACTTCGAGACGGTCGAGGTCTTCGAGGCGGTCGAGGTCTTCCAGGCGATTGAGATCTTCCAGACGGTCGAGATCTTCCAGGAGGTCGAGAACTTCCAGGTCTAGGTCACCTTCGGACCATCCTCCTACAACAGAAACCAGGGGAGATTCACCAGATGAACTACGTGGAGTTTGGGCACCATGGCCTCCTGCTCCTGGAAATGCACCACGTGACGGTGAAAGCACAGAGAATGAATCCTTGCCTGGGAAAGGAAAAGGAAAGGATGGAAAGGGACGTTTGGCTGCCTTCAATGACTTGGGCATCTACCGTCCTGGCCTTGCAGTGCGGCGAAGACCGCCCTCGAGGGCCACTACGTCTGATGCTGGCGAACAAACGCCAGATGGTGAACCAACGGAGTTTCAAGGAGAAACTCAATCTGGTGGTGCTCAACTGAGCCCTGGACCAACTACGCCTACCACGCCCGGGACGGATGACACTGAGGTGTCTGGAAGTGTGAGCGCTGGGGGCACCTATCATCTTCGTGGAGGTGGTCTTCGCCCTCTCTGTCCAGTACCAGAAATTGGAGGTGATATCCCGAAGGCGGCATCACTGGTTAGGCCACCTTTGCCTACCGCGGGCTCACCTGCCGCCTTCGCGGCGTCAAGCTCTCAGGGGCCAAACTACAAGGCTCCACCAGCCGCTTTGGGACCACCACCACTTCCCTCGGTATATGTTACTGGATGTGGCACGGTGTACCACCTGAAAAATACATGTGGGAAGTTGAAGTGCGCAAGGCGCATCTTTGAGCGCACGGCCTGCGACCAATGTGGCTCTCTGGCCTTCAATGGGGGCAGAAACATTTGGTTGGTGCACGGCCGTTACCACCTGGAACTTCATGGAAACCTGACGGTTTCAAATACCACCACATGGGCTCCGTGCTTTGAATGTGGAGGTGGATGAGATGGAAAAGGTGAACTGAGAGCCGGTTGTCTCAAAGAGACAAGGGGGAGTGCGGTTACATTACAAATTTGTGACCCTGTCGCACTCAGGTTTTGCAAAGCTTTGCCTGGCCAATGCGTTGGCTCAAGGCGACTCAAACTGAGATTGCCAAGGAAAACAACGAGGTGTCATTGGGACGCGACTTTAGTTGTTGGAGCCCATAACATTGGGACGCAACTTTAGTTGTTGGAACCCATATCCACCTGGTTTGTAGCCTCCCGTACATATTATAGATACTGGATACCAGTGGAGACATTTCTCAAGGCTAGATTCCTGGAGTGTACTTGGCACCTCAGAATCACACCACAAATGACTCGATCCGAATCGCATAGTATCCCAACTGAAGTAACAACTTCCCTCGTGTTGGCTCTTTTTGGTTTGGTTGGAAAAAAATCGGAGAACATCTTGGGGGTGTCTCAAAATCCACTAATTTATCATCATCTTCCCATCGCAATTCCTGGCCAATCTTCGACGCCCCAAAAAAATGTCAAAAAATATTGCTGGTTGACAATCTTGCTGGTTAAACAGTTAATTTTTCTGACCTTTGAATATCTACAGCTGCAAAAAAATGACGGAAACTTCCACCAGTTTTTCAACCTGACCTCCCCGGAGCCGTCGCAGTCTAGGACTTTGAAAATGGTCTGCATGTCATCCCTCTCAATGTCCATAAAGGCCATGAGGGACTTGAAGTTCATGTCCGTGTCGAAGCCATCCTGGATTCGTCAACGTCCAAACTCCACAGAAATCCATGGCTGTTGAAGATATCATGTTGGTGCCTTTCCTGCAATTTATGCTAGTTGATACTAGTTGATGGCTCAAAATTATGAAGGGCTAAAAAAACATGAGAGTCAAACCAGACATGAAAACAAGTTGCATCAACCCCGGATGAATGCTCATCCTGGTTGACGATCTACTTGGGTTGCCCAAAACAAGTTTTTATCTGGTACAAAAATGGTACCACCCCAAGCCAACAGCCCAGTGTTTCTAATCCCAGAGTTGACATTATGAGAGTTGGCGTGGGAAATCCAACAATAAACCACCACCAATTTGGGCAGAAATGTCTTGTACTAGCATACATACGGCAGGAGTTGTGGTTTGCCAGGACATTGCCTCATGTTTGAGAGAGGTTTTACTCAGTATTTGCAAGGTTTTGCAACATGTCTTACAGTACTTGGAATCCCCTGAAGGGTGTAGTTCCGCAAATTTGTGATTTCGAGTCGGAATTCGTGACCCTTTGCGGGAATCGGCTCTCTTTTCTCTCAATTTCAGGGTCTCAAGCGTTGTCTGGTTGATAGTTCCATGGGAAACTTGATCCCTATTGTAAACCCTACTAGTGGTATGGTTCATCGTTCCTTTGGGGGGGTGGAAGATTCGATCCCTTATATAAACCCTATAATAATGGAATAGTTAATTGTTCGGTGGGAAATCTGATCCCTTATGCAAACCCTATAAAGAGGTATGATTGATGGTGAACCTACTGTTGATAAAAATGGGATATACTACTTATCAGGATTCGCCCTTCAGGCTCACCCCCATGATACAAACAACAAGGAATGAAGGCACCAACTAGCTAGAGACTTGGTACACCTACATTCCCAGTATGCCCGTTTTTGATTACCAATTCCAAGTTGTGGAAAAGTAAACATTGAATGAAGTGGGGATGGGTCAAAACCCTTGTTCATCCCGAAGGAAAAAATGTACCCTCCGGAAATCAAACATGGCTTGCTGGAAAATCCCCCATTAAGTTCGATGTTTTTCCCAACAAAAACATCAATTTATAGCGGACCGCCATGTTTGAGGACACCGAAAGGTGTGTATGGGTTTTGACTCACCCCTAGTCAGTCAGCAGCCAGCGTCCAACATCTCTTTCAAGGATAGAGCACCACTGCCATCATTGTCCATCCGGTCACAAAGGATAGCCAGCTCGATCATGTTTCGTTCGCGCTCGTTCTCCTGAGAGGGTCCACGTTGTATTTTCAGACTGGGTTTTGACTCCCAAGTTTATTCTGAAATTTGAGAGTTTCGAAATAGTACTTTAACCCTCCAGGGAGTTCTGCCTCTGCATTCCCATTCTTGGGGAGGCAACTTACATCGCCAAAAGCTGGCGAAAGTGTGGTTTTAACTGCATCCAAAAGGGGCTGTTTCTTAGAGAATAGGCCTACAATTGAGACCCTTTGGATTTTGGCCAAATGTCGAGGTCACGGCGGTCACGGATGCTTCACCATTTGGGCGAAGAATTCTAACACATATGCACCAAAATGGGATGATTAAATCCCATTGTGATTATTTATAATCCCCTAGTCCTTGGAATGATGACAAATGTCACTTGAATCCTCGTTCTCCCAGTTGGTATACCAAAATCATGATTTCGGTCGACCATCAGC